TTGATCGAATGACGTTTTAGCGAACGCCCACGTTTCATCGAACGACACTTTAGCGAATAGTCGGACGCCGCGAAGCGGCGTTTTCGGGTGGGCCAAGTGAGTTCATATTTTTGTAATGAGTTGCCGTAGACTGTCGCCGCGAAGCGGCGTAAAGCGCAGCGCGACGGATGGGTTAACGCGCGCCCCCGTTATTCGCTAAAACGACCATTCGCTCAAATGTCGCCGTTCGCTAAAATGTCATTCGCTCTTCTGATATGGACCCCTGCGCGATACACCCGAACGACCGGTCTCCTGTTTGTGCGAAGCCTAAACCGGCGACTCATTACAAAAATATGAACCCATTTGGCCCACCCGAAAGCGCCTCTTGGCGGCGTCCGACTATTTGCTAAAGTGTCATTCGGTGAAACGTGGGCGCTCGCTAAAACGTCATTCGATCAAGTGAGTGCCTCCCTAAAATTGTGAAACTATACTCTATTTCACCTTATAATGTATCATAGGAAAAACCTATAAGCGCGAGCTCCTTGCTCCAGAGCCGATCTTTATGATCTCGCGCTTCTAGCCTGCACTGAGGTAGAACATAAGGTGAAACGGAGTATGGGGCGTTTTCACATAACGTCAACCCGCCATCTTGTTGTTGGGGTGAGTGAGTAAAAAAACGTTTTATCTATCTAAAGCAGCTAGAGCCGGCTGTAGTGAGTAAAAAAATATATATATTGTATTTATCAGAAACAGGACGTGAAACTTAAAAGCTTTTCTGCACGCCTGATTTGAAGGTGTTCTGCGAGTCTTCGGAATATTCGCTTTCAGCTCGTAACAACAAAATGGTGGACGAAATCGCGACACCAATGACGAAAAAAAGGCACGCATACGACAACACTGGCACTGAACGAACTAGCCCAGTCGAAGGTCGTGGTAAAATATGGTACCGGTCAATACTCTGTCGAAGTAAAATGTAACGAAATTTGCCGATGTTGGGGCTCGCGCTAACAGTGCCGCGCAATGCACACCCACTACAGCGCGTCCGCGTAGATTTTTTTCTATTATTATTTATTTCCGAGCAAACGAACTTATGCTAAACAACGTGTCCATAAACCCGAATACTTTTTTTTTTTTTTCGATCGGATGGAATTTGCTCATAATGTGGCTCTGAATCACTGGTGTTGTTCCGGTTGATTGGGAAAGGGTGTTCCACTCCGCGTCCGTATTGTTTGTCGTCGGCGGCGACCCGCAGGCGACAATGGGATGTCGATAGGTGAATCAGCGGCGCTGTGCATCATCCCCTCGTGGAACTTCGCGGGCTCTCGTGCGCCATCCTTCACCCGTCTCTTCCTCTTTTGTGGCGCAAGAAGTCTGGAGAAGACGCATCACGTTCGAGCGCCACTTCGATGTGCGTCCATCAGCGCTGTAGTTACCTGCGTTCCTGCACGCTTGTAGCATTCTAAGGATAACGTAACGTAGTTTTCTATTCGACTTAGCGTCTCGTTTCGCAATGTTCCTCGTTGTTCGGTGCCTGTCTTGGGTAGGTCAGTTACCGTCAGTACCTCCTTCGAATGCGCTTCTTCTCACTGGGCGCCTTCGCACTGTGGAGGAGAGTCCACGCGGAGTGGACAACGCGTGTCCCTCCCGCTTCGTTGCGGCGCGCATAAAAGGGGGAAAAATCATAAAACAAATTCAGAGGGGAGAAAAAAGGAACATGGTGAATGTTCGTGTAAAAACCCTAGCTTGTAGTCAAGTTTTCAATGTATACATGCGGCTGTGGTGCAAGAATGCATGTTAGAACGTGATGTCTTGGCAAACTGTGTGCGTCATTATAACTGCGTACTTTTTTTTTTTTTTTTTTTTTTTTAGATTTGTGGAATTATATTTTAGTATAACGAGTGGATTCTTAACTAGGTATAGCTGGGACGTGCTATAGGTTTAATTACGTAGGTTTCCAAGTATTTGAGGGCACAGTCGATAAATTGTTTCTTTAAAACTGAATGAGCTCGGGTAGTGGACAAATAGATGAATACTTTAATTTTTATTAATGAAAACGTGCGACCCACATACTGATTTTGTGTAATTTGATCCAGTATGTTTATTTGCAAAATGCCATCGGTTTACAAATTTAACTGGCAAACTTTCTTTTAATTAAATAAAGAATTGCACAGTTTGATTTCGCCACATAATTTTGCAAAATATTCACTTTGGTGCCCAAAACCATTCTATTATATTATTTTAGTAGGAAGCTAAACTGTCCTTCATCGGTCAACCTAAGTTTCGAAAGCAGCGGCTGCAGCAAAACAAAGAGGAGGGCCCTTGTCTCAACACTCTTGTTCAGCACATCTAAATACGTTGAGTGTTTTTGAGATTAAAGATGTCTCCTCTACTGTGAATGATTGGTTGCACAGGGAGTATTTGGAGCATGCAGTTCTTACAAAGCCCCTGAAAAGAAAAAAAAAATTAAGCAATCTGGCGGGGACCGAGCGTGTCAAAAATTATTCTTACGCGAAAAAAAGAAAAATAGTTCAGACCAATATTGATTGTGCGAGACGCGATTTCGTCGGCAGTCACCTCCTTTCCACCGTTTTCTCGGCATTTCGGGCGCTTGGAGAAGAGGTGGATGGGCTTCTCCTTCAGTACCAAGATGATAATTCCGGGATGACCCGTGACGTCATAAACTTTTCGCGCAGAATTAAAAGAAAGAAAAAATCGTCATTTAAATTTTTTTGCTTATTTGTTTTTTTTAATTCGCGTGTCACATTTAGATTTTTTTTTTTTTTTCTTTTTAGGAGCTTTTTAACAGAGTATTTCCAGTAGAACGAGTAAAACCAAAATATAACTGCTTGTGCACCCGAAGCCATTTTTGCTGCTCCAAAAGGTGTTCTGAAATGACTTGAGTTCTCACTCTATTTTGTCAGGCATCTTTTTATTATTTGCTTTCAGCACATAATAATATTAGGATATATACTAAGGCATGTTCTTATTATTAATTGCAATATTTCCTTAATACTTGCACCTTTTCTTTAAAACACTGCCTTTAAGGGGGGACACTACCCAGAAAAAACAATTTCTGCAAAAAAAAGTTGATTTTGAAAAATGTCATATTTACATCCACCAACATCTAGAGAGTATTGCCAGAAAGTTTCATTAGTTTACACTGCATAGTTAATTTTTTATAAATTATTTTCGGTCCACTGATGCTAAAGAAAAGGTAGAGGTTGGAGCACTTTGAACGCATTTTTCTCCATTCCACTTTTTGGCATAAATTTCACTTTAGGAAAACTATCGTTTTGTTATTACGCAACTTGGATTCATTTTTATGAGTGTTTCTGGGGCGAAATATTAAGGGGAAGATAACTATGAGCTTGTATTTTTTATTTTTGTCATTTTTCATGCTCAAGGACTAAAAGTTCGGACAAAGGATGGAAATCTAAAAAACTGTATTTGTGTTTATGTGGCTTTTTTGTCATGAAAGATGGTATAACATAGAAATATAGCTCCATAGTTATCTGCTCTGAACTGTCCTAATGCAATGTAACACATGAAAACACCAAATTTATAAGTAATTTCAAAACGATAGTTTTCCTAAGCAGACACGCCCACTTTCGTCTTTGAACATTTGCAATTTTTTTTGTACTTCTCCCAGGTTAACAGAAATTGGCAGAAATGTTATCAACATCAACAGAAACAAGCACTATAAATATAATTTAAATCAGACGAGTGGTTCAAAAATTTGCTTTTTTGGGTAGTGTCTCCCCTTAATTGCAAAAAAAAAAAAAAAAGATTTTAAGTTACAGTTTTAGTAAGTGGTTTTATCAGCTTTTAAATATCCTGAAGGACAGTGATTTCTCTACAACCCCCCCCGTTTTTCTGAAGGCAGTGTTTTAAAATTCACGACTCCTATATTCTCAATGCCCCCCCATCCCCCCAACCCTTCCTGAAAATGTGGGCACCCCTCCTAATTTAAATTCCTGGGGAAACCCCTGCCAAAGTATGCTGCCAGAAAGTTGCACTTCTGCAACTAAAGTGTTTTTTCTTGAATAAATTATTTCCAATATGCCAGCACCATCTAATGTGCAGCTTGCTCTGTACTTTAAAACTCATTTATCTGTTTTACTTTCGGCATTAAATCTCGATTCAGGAAACCTAAAATTCGATAATAAATTGATGTGTGGAGCCAGTTTTTAAAATGTTTAGGGGTTAAAAGCGCTAAAAACGACGGACGAGTAGGAGAGACACACACCACAGACCGCTCTGTGGTGTGTGTCTCTCCTACTCGTCCGTCGAGCGCTCTGTGGTGTGTGTCTCTCCTACTCGTCCGTCGGTTTTAGCGCTTTTAACCCCTAAACATGTTCAACCAACTAGCCCAAATCCAAACCCTTCTCCAGATTTTAAAAGTTCTGTACAGAAATTTTGTAAAAAAAAATATGGTTGTGTACTTAGTTTCTACATTTTCATTTACTTTTATGAAAAGCTGCAATACCTTCAACCTAATGCATGCAAAAAACATTTTTTTTTTTTTACATTTCTGTTCTTTATTAGAAAAGTTACAATTTCTTTAATTTCTTTCCATGGCCGCATGACACAGGTGTTAAACTAAATGTTTCACCAAAAGAACTGACCATTATCATTAGCTTTTCTAAACAATAGTTTTCCTCAGGGAGTGCAGTGTTTATTTCATGTTCTTTTATGTAACTCTTTGAAGAATAAACTTCTAAACTTAAAAAAATCTTTGCATGTTATACTTTTTCCCAGCTATGAATATGCCCTGCTAATTTGAGACAAATAAGTGTAACGGTTAAAGTTCACCTTCCCGGGTAGTGCCCTTGGCTTTTGGGGTCTGAGTAGTCCCCAAGTAGTGAAGCACATCTTGAATAGACAGTGTATCTGCTCAACATATAAATTATTTCTTGCATCGAGGTATAGAGAAGCATTTTGGAATTTTCTAGTTCCCTCTACCGCTTGTTGCCATTTTTGTTTTTCAAATGCTTATCATAAATTTCTTTTTCTGCTTGCAGCCCATCGAGGTGACGATGAGGTGGACAGGGCCCTGGTGAGCTGCAGACTTTTTTCTATGGTGTTGGTCACTTCTGTGAAAACTTTAACATGCTTGTAAAGGCATTGTTAGAAGTGGTTTTTTAAGCAAAATTAGTCATCATAGTAGAGCCATTATGATTTTGAAGCTAACTACAGCTTTATTTAGGTCATTACTCGCCTTAAAAGGACTGCTCACACAGAGCAGTTTTAAGCAAGTGCTGTTTCGTAGAACAGTTCAGGGTATGTTTTCTTAGCTCTTTGTGGTCCGTTTTTTTTTTGCTTACATCCCTGCTTTTGTGAATTTGTTCAGTTACATTGTGTGTATGCAAAGTTCCTGCAAATTCGAGAGAATGGAAAAAAAATCCTAGCATTGAGGAAACCTTAGTGAGCCTGTAAATCTGAGAATTGTTACAGAATTTGGTGAAAATATTGCCAGGGTGGAGAAAATTTGTCTTTGTTACTTCAGCATAGATCTGCTTTAACACACTTGCACCAAAGGCCTGTAATGCACTTTTTGCACATGCCGTGACTGCTATGGGTGATTCTGGAGTATTGCTGAAGTCTCGAAATGTGAACAGAAATTTTGTTGAGTCTGAAAGGAAAGGAAATGATTGCTGTTAATAGCTTTTGACAACTGTTTCACCAAGTTGGTGGAAAAACCTGGTAAATTCAAGGAATTAGGAAAAATGCAGTCATTTGCAGTTACCTTAGTATTTAGCAATTGTCTAATCAGGCCTTTTCACATAGCCTTTTCAAGCTCATCTGTTTATCCATTTGTGGATCAGGCATGCCCATTACAATGAGAGGTTTCTCTTTTTTCCCCCCTTCACGTCTCTGTGAAGCATTCCGAAGTCAATGACTCGGAAGTGGTGAGTATCTGGTAGATGGTGCTCGTGCGCCACCAGGGCTGGTGCATGCCCCGTCTGCATGGCGCTACTGCAGGGGCACGGGGCAGCTAATCGATTCCTTCTGCACTTTACCTGGTTTCTTCCTGTGGCTTGTTTTCACGTCCTTGCTTCTCCTATGTCTCATGCACAGTTTAAGCATACTGTAATGACACAAGTCATATGTAGCCTGAGATATGGTGTTATTGCTACTCTGACTAAAGCATCTGTAGCACAGAAAACATTATAATCAACAAGGGAAGTCTTTTTGAAGCAAAAGTTTGGTCGAAATAGGCACTTCATTCTTTTGTTGGGAGCCTCTGGTCAATTTGCCTTTCCTATCGCAGCCTTTGCTCAGACTGTGGCTGTGGGATGCTCTTCTTGGTTGAACTAACTCTTAAAGTGTCCCATTGTGCTTGTTCACTTAATGTTTGATGTTCTCATTACTGTTGCACTGGCATGGATGCCGTGCATTAGAGGAGATGGTATGTTTCCTGTTGTGCCCTGCTATTTTCCAATAGCTTTAATTTACTCATTTGGTCAACTGACTGGGAATAGTGCTAGAAATAGATCTGCAGGCGGAGTGTCTAGATGATGGGAGGGGCTTCTCTGCGGTTACCTTTTGCATGTTACATTTTCAAGGCACAGTGCAAACATCTAGAGTGAGATGACTCGTAACATAAGGAGGCCATAAGCAATGCCCACAAAAAGTAAGGTGCCTTAATCTGTACACTTCCATCGCAAGGTGGTAGTATCGGGCACATTTTATAGCATGTGCTTCTTTTAAGGACACATTCAAAGGAAAAATCTTTTTTTTTTTTCATCAACCTAAGTGGAAAAAGAATGCCATAAAACAAATTTACAACGAAAAAAAAATTTTAGCTATATTTACGGCACGAAACGAATTTGTAGTCTGTGCCCGCTGGAGCCGCGGCTGGTCACAAGGTAGACCTGTTCACCATGGTGCTGTGCCACCGCCGCCACAAAGCCCCGTTGCATGCTGAACGTAGTGCGCTGCCGGTTCAGTGCGTTCCTCCACTCCGCCGCCGGACACTCTGGCACTGCTGTCAGTTTCTGACCGGCACACAGGCAGTGGCGTCACTAGGGTCAGCGGTACCCGGGGCGGCAGCCCGCCGCGACGCCCCCCCGAGCGCTGCACCCAAGGTGGTCCGCCCCCCCCCCCCCTTCCCCCCCCCCCCCTTGTGACGCCACTGCGCACAGGTCTATCACGTGGTGCTTGCACTTTCTTAGGAGGTTCCTTTGGGCTCTAAAAGTTACTTATCAGCCTTTGTTTTCTGATGCACTTCAAGCGAAGGTGAAGAAGTAACACTTCACAGCACACGAAAACAGTGCACTATAAAAATTACACACACATGCACACAGAAAAAACTCTCATGCAGCGCTGTTATGGTGTGTTGTTTTTGTGCATTGTGAAGTGTTAGCAGGGTTCACTAACTCGTCCAAGCTGAAGTATTGAATAAGTAACGTTTAGAGACAGGAGGAAGCTTCCGGAAGAGCGCAAGCACCACACGCTAAATAGCAACCATTCAGGGGATTAATAGCGGCCACTTTTCCACTCCCCCCCCCCCCCCCCCCCCCCCCCCCCCCTCGAGGGCACCAACTACAAAATCGTTTCGCACCGTAAATATAGCTCTAAAAGGGGGGGGGGGGGGGGGGGGGCTTTTCGTGTTCATTGTAAATTCGTTCTATGACCTCCTTTTCCCATCCAGGCTGTGTAAAAATTTTTCTTTTCCTTTGCTGGTGTTCTTTAGGGCAATAATGCTTAGGAGCTCGTGCAAAAAAAAAAAAAAAAAGAAAATGGCGTTTGCATCAGTGTTGGTGTCGGCGGGACGAAAAAATCCCATAATACTACGCGCGCAGCCACATGTGATGTCATACGTGGCTTTGACGTCATGACCCATGAGAATGAGTACAGGTTTAATGAAAAGGCTTCGCAAATGGGACACAATAACGCTATCGAATACCACTCTTAAAGGCAAAGCTTAAAGGGGTCATGAAACGCTTTTCCAGCTTTTTCCTGTTTAGCTTTCCTCCTCAACTCATAAATCGCACATTACACCAAAAAGTTCAAGAAGACAAAAAGAGGGGAGGCCCCTCCTGCTCGGAATCTGGTTTATGTACCCGGACAGAGCCATTGTCCCCGTAGAAGATTAGCCCGTCGCTCAAAATTCAGACAAAAGTTGCTTTCCCCAACCCGTTCACCCCGGAGCTGACAGTGCTGTGGAAGCTAGGTGCTCGCTGGGCCAGCCACACTTGCCACATGATCACGCTCCTCCGCGCATACCCACGCGCAGAGATTGAGGGCAGGTGATAAAGGGAGGCGGCTGATTGGTTCGCCAAGCGCGTAGCTTCCACCACAATGTCAGCTTAGGGGTGAAGGGACTAAGTGAGGTCCGGTTCTGTGTGACGTCAGTTTGGACCCGATGACGCGCTTTTGGGACCGCGGATGTATCACAGTGAAAAGGCAGAGAGGTTACGAAGGAGAGGAGGTACGAAATAGTCCGCTGTGTTTTCGAATTTTCGCACAGAAAGTCAGGCTTTTGTCTGTCTACCTTTCTTTCTTTTGGCCCACTGAACGATGTACTATTAGTAAAATCCCAATCGAAAATGATTTATCCCAACCCAAAATCCGTTTCATGGGCCCTTTAAGCATCCCCCAAGTTTTAGAGCACAGCTCTTAGGTGCCCGTTTCCGGCTTGAGTGCCTTAGGCGGTGCCGTTGGCGTAACCACGCATTGCATTATGGGACTCTTCCCATAATGACGTCACACGTGACGTCCGTCACGTATGACGTCACAAGGGTTATCCCTATAACCCTCAGAAAAGTAACATCACGACGTTACCCTCGTGACACCATTTTAGGAAACACGTGACATATGACATCACATGTGACATTACATGACATGTGACGCTAAATATGGCGGAAAAATATTCCTGTTAAATTTAACCTTGTGACGTCACGTGTGACGTTGCACATGACGTCACAAGGAAAAAATTTTCTTGCTAAATTTAGTGGGGAAGGAAGAGGGGCATACCCTTTCCTCTGTACCCTCCCGTCCTCTTCAAGAGCTGCGTTCTAATTCAGCGTTACAGAAAATTGAAAACGTCTTTCATTGTTTTGGGGGGCTCTTTAGCACATGAATGATAGTCTCCTAACTCACACTCTTGGCTTTGGTGGGTCATTTAAGTGTAATTTATATACCACTATAATTTAGCATTTTTCTTGTGATAGTATGTTGTCATCATCGGGTACTACAAAGAATGCCACCACCCTAATAAAACACCAAGGTGCCCAGCTGAACTTTTCTAATGATTAATTTCTCGGGCTGAGCACATACTGTTTCATTCATTGTTTGTGCACACACTTTTTTTTAATGAATTTGTAAGAAAGCCACCAGTCTGGATACCTTAATGCTAATCACTAGTTGACATTTCTAGAGTGCAATCAGGTTACTGTGTTGTACTTGAATACCTTGTGAGCCTTGTTCACAGGGAGGAAAATTCATTGGCATATGCTGTATTTTCTTGTACAGAAACCATACTTTCAAAGTCTCTTCCTTTATAATAATTATTATTATATATTGAACTAGGGTTCTTCATTGCACCTCTAGACATTTCCGAGTCGTGACTCGTATGCCAGAGAATGCGGTGTGCATCAAATGGGTAAATGAATGCACGAGTCGTGACGTCGTTCATCGGCTTAGCTTGTGGTTCGAGCTTTAGATATAACTGCGTGTAAGTGCCAGTGGTCATGTCGAAAATGAACCCTCTGATCAAGCCTGGCACTTTGTGCAGGGTCTTGGCAAGGCATCCAAGAGGGCGAGCAGTGCTCCTCCGAACCGACGGGCGGTGCTGTCGGCGTCCAAAGCCACCCCCCTGACCAGTGCCATGCCCTCCAGTGAGCCAGCCCTTCCTTCCTTGACATTGCTCGGTGTTGTTCGGCATCGTCCCTACCATGCTTGTTGTGTCAAGGATACTATATCATAAGTAGAACCCCGTGTCTATGATTTTTTTTTTACAACGGTTTTGTGCTTTTTGGGTCGAGCACAAAACGTGTTTGTTAGGGGTTATGTTGAAGGCAAATAGGACTTGAGCATGAAATTCCCCAGCCTCTAGAAAACATGCCCGTATCCCGAATGTGTCCCAGTACCGATAAGAGAATGAAACAAATTAAGGGGTGGGGTTCCTTCCGTAGAAAAAAGCAGCCTCGCAGACAGTGTGGGCAGTGTCCTCGGTCAACACTGGATAAAGCTGTAAATGAAGGTTTCTCCCGAGAAGGCTCCGGGGGGTTAATTTCGAGGTTTCTCAGCATTTACCGAAAACACGGAACCCTAATCGCGAGTAATTTCTGCGGGTTTTTTGGTATAGATTATCGGGTATGAAGTCTGAACCATTGCTTTTAATCTGGACCTATTCTCTCGTACACCACGTGAAAGTCACGCTCACGCAAGATTTAAAAATCCTTTGTCTTCATAGACCTTTTGAAATAGAAATTTGAAGCTCGGGAACTGAGGTAGGCGCCAGTGCTATTTTGTCAGGTAGTGACAAGAATAGACAATGGATGTGTAATTTTAGCCATTAAATCTGTTATCATTCGCATCCAAATATTTCTGGCTAATGCTGAGCTGAGGGGCGTTACATTTGGATAATGCTTAAAAATGTTATTGGAAGATAACTTCTGCGCTGCGCGCTGGCAATAATTAATTTTTGTATGTATTGACTCTTGAAAATTAGGTTTACTCTGTTTAGTACAATCACAATTTTAGACCATTCGTGCCTGAAGCTCAGGAACATAGTTATCATTACTCCATACTTTCTTTTTGTTTTATTCTATTCACCATTTTTAACAGCTCGCTGCATACGCTCGCAATATGGCTATGCTAACTTGAGGCTACTGTGCATTAACATAGCTAGCATAAACATGACATAACCACTTTTTTGCATTTTACTTGTGTAGGGTGGTGACAGAGGCCAGATACGACTCGGGTTTGTATCCCGGCCATGCGTATTCCACCTCCCCAGTAGGTTTAATGACAGCCACTGAGTTATGGGAGAAAAATAACGACATACTGGCTATTGCTTAATATGTCATAATCTGAAGTACCATACTTACTTTAATCTAATGCATGCCTGTTTTGAGAAAAATATTCCTATAAACTGCCTGTCAGTTAGAATTAAATATGGAATCGGAATGAGACTAATGTCGTGCTAATAGCAGCGGCACAATAAAAACTGGATTTGCATTAGAACCGGGTAGATAAGTTAATAGACAATGATTCGTTGCCAAAATTTGTTTCGATATTAAAGCTTGCATTTAAAACATGCTTTCTATATGCCATTTGTGCTTTCTGTCTTCATACCATCTTAGCTGTTGCAGTGTCTTTGTTCTTTCCTTTGTGTTCTTGCTAATTTACTTCCTTTCAAGCTGTTTGGTGTATGTAATCTTTTGTAATAAAACAAAACTCTGTTTATTTTGTCAAGCTCTGGCACGCAAGCACAGCTTGAAAGGTACCTCTGCAGTAAAACCGAGCCTTTCAGGTATCTAACCTTTTCCTAACATTTTTTGTTCTTTCTCCATCGGCAAACATTTATGTTTGATCAAAACTAGGCTTGTCTGGCTTTGCCCTGCTTCTTCTAACGACTGATCAATTTAATCTGTGTGTAGACTAATGCATTCATTGTTTTTGATGTCTGTAAGTATGTGTGCATGTGATTTTAATCTAGCAGCTGTTTAATTAGAATTGTCACACATTTGTTGTTTGGGGCTTGTGTTCCTTCAGCAGAAGTTGCTCCACTTGACTGGAGTGTTTTTAACGAGGTTTGCTTTTCTCAAAAGTTTGTGACGACTGGTCACCAGCTTTTGGAGAGAGAGAGAAAAAAAATAGCAGTCTTTTGTTAGGAATGGAAATAGATTCACCAGTTGTCCTTTGATTAATTTGTGGATGAATAAAAATAAGTTCACTTTACGAGACATTATTAAAAATTTACTTAACCATGAAACGAAAAATAATTTTAACATTTTATGGGAAGAATACTTGTGAAATGTTCTATCGTTTGTTTTTCGTGGGTTCTGTGGAAAGCTTTGCGTGGTAACATGGTTACAAAATGTAGCATGGCTAAGATCCATACTGTAGGCCATTGGTAGCTGTGCTTTGATTAGGTGAGGTGTGGCCTATGTTACTTTTGCACCATGAAACTCATTCTTCTGGGGGTAGCACACTACCAGGTAGTTTGAGTCATTCTTTTGTGGGATTGTTTTCAACAGCAAATGCAGGTGCGGCCGATGTGGAGATGTTTGTCCGGATGTTTGAAGACGTGCCACGTGTGCAGGTAGCCTTTTGTTTTTAGATGTCATCGTTTGCCGGTTTCTCGGATTTTATTCTATTGACATAGTATGAGCCATTTTACCAAAAAGTAAACATTTCTTCCTAAAAAAACTGGTGTTTGCCTTTTTTCTGTTAAAAAAAGTTGTCCTTAGGGGGCGTAAAAGGGTGCGGTCACCCCCTTAATTCTGCCCACGATGTCCAGGTCGCAAGTATGAACATGTTTACATAACATGTTTACATTGTATGAACATGTTTACAAGTATAAACATGTTTACATTTACACTTAAATCACAATAAAAAATGTAAAAGAAAAATGGTTTATTTTTTATTATGGCAGATACATTTTTTTATTTATATTCTACTACTGATTTTCTTTATTTGGGGTTGTTAATGTCACTTAAATCACAATAAAAAAAATGAATGTTTTTATTATTATGGCAGATACATTTTTTTATCTATACTACTGATTTTCCGGGTCCATATTACATGAGCGAATGATGTTTTAGTGAACAGCGACATTTGAGCGAATCGACGCTTTAGCGAATAACGGGGGCGCGCGTTAACCCATCCGCCGTGCAGCGCTTTCGTCGCTTCGCGGCGACAGTCTGCGGTGGCTCATTACAAAAATGTGAACCCATTTGGCCCACCCGAAAACGCCGCTTCACGGCGTCCGACTATTCGCTAAAGTGTCATTCGGCGAAACGTGGGCATTCGCTAAAACGTCATTCTATCAAGTGAGTACCTCCCTGATTTTCCATATTTGGGGTCTGCCTATTCAGTGTTGTTACTTGTAAACATAAATATTTCAAAAACAATGTAACTGTTTTTGTTTTTTTTAAATGTAGTGTGAATAAGTGATTACTTCCTCATCTGTGTGTTTGTATGCAGCAAAACAAACTAGCTTCTGCTATTACATTGTCTTGGGTTAAAATTTTTTGTGTATTCTTTCACATTGTGGGGTTGCTTCTTTTGACAGGTGTACTCTGCAAAGGAGCTAGAACAAGAGCTTACAAAGCTCAGGCAGGTACTCTCTGAGTCCAGCACCGACTGGGAACGGAGAGTTGACGGGGTAAGTGTGTGTTAGTTTACTGTGAGCTTGGAATGGTCTATGGCACCTCGAGGTTTTTTCGTTCGGTTTGACATCTTGGTTAAAAGGCCCCTGAAAAGAAAGAAAAAAAATTTTTTCAAACGATCTGGTTTGGACACACAAATAAAAAAATTATTTTAAACAAAAAAATAAATAAATAATTTTTTTTAGATTAATATTGACGGCGCGAGACGCGATTTAATTGGTAGTCACCTCCCTTCCACTTCTTTTCTCTCTTAGCATTTCAATATATATATATATATTTTTTTTTTTTTTGCTTAAAATGTATTTTTTGACATTTGTACGTCCCAACCAGGCTTTTTTGGAAAAAAACTTATCTTTCTTCCTTCTGCCACAAAATCTGACCCAGTTTTGCAGCACTGTGGAATTTGTAACAAAGCTGACCCAAGTTGTTGAAGGTTTCTATCTCCAGCCATTGGTCTAATTCTCAAGCGTTGGGGATTGACAAAGTGGCCCATGACACGTCTCGTATGCCTTGCTTTTTTGTTACAAAGGGAGAACGGGAAAAAGAGTACTTTGCTGACACAAAAAGGGGGTGATTGACAAGAGGGAAATTGAAAGTGCCTGTTATTTCATCATAGAGGTCTGTTAGAGGAACCACAGATATGCTGAATTCCGTCGTAGTAAAATTAAAATGCTGCCAATGCATTTTGTGACTCAGAATATAGTGTGCTTATCTTTAAGTTGAATACATTTCTAAAAAATAGGGTTCTTGATACATATAAAGCTGTTTTTTGCAATAACATTGTTTACTGCAGTGGATGGATGCCATGGTAAAAGTGTATCAATGTCATGATTAGTGAACTCTGTCACAGAAGTTCACTTTAAATTTTTAATTGTAACTGGTGCATCCCGATTCGAGATTTATAGCCTATCATCAAGAAATTTTGCTGCAGTTTGATTTCAAAGAAAAGAAATACATAAGTACCGTAAAATACCGCAAAAGCGCCCACTTCGTTCAAGTGCCCACTGTTAGCACTTCCCCAAACTTGTGAATTCTGCAAACTATACGTTAAGCGCCTGATTTGACCGGACGAGCACCCATGTCTAGATTAACCCAGTTTTCAGTGAAAGTAGGCTGGGTGCTCCCCCGGTATTTTACGCTAGGTACCATAATTTCCCAAGGTGTGCCTCACCCCCCAAAAGATAGCCCACCCACTATTTTTGGCGCAATTTGCTATTTCTTTAAAAAACACCGAAAAATAGCCCTATTCTAGTGATTGCAGGGCCCTGACCAATGGGGACCTCGGCAAAAAACAGCGTTACTTAACCACACCGGGAGATAAGCGAACATTGCTGACTGAAAAGGACAGTCGCCTTTGGTCCATTGCCCCTTCCTGCTACCGCAAGTTTCCAGGGTCACAAAATCTAAAACTAGCATCTTTCCAACTTTTTTTTTTATTGCACGCTCAAAGTTAGCCCACCCCTTGTTTTCATAAGATTTGCTATCAGTTTTAGGTGGGCCATCTCGGGACATTACGGTAGTCGGAAACATAGGCTCTCACGGCATGTGGTACCAAAACCTCGAGTCAAAAGAATGCAGACACCCAGTCCCGGTATACCATATACATCTCTGCGTTGCGTAGCAGTCCGGTCCGAGCTTGGTAAAGTCTGCTGATGGCTGCACATTATTAATGCATTATGGTGGACAAGTTTATCACCTCTCTTGAAAACATATTTCTAAAGTTGCATTTATCAGTATAAGTGTTTCATTCCATTAAAGGGCACATGCAAAGGAAAAAAATTTTTTTTTAAAACAGCTTAGATGGAGAAAGGATGTCGTAAAACGATTTTATAACGAAGGAAAAAGCGTGTTCACGCACCGGGACGCGTGAATGCGCTGCCGATTCTCAACTTCGTCGTGCCTTGTCACGGCTATCGCTGTGGCTGTACTTTGGATTAACACAGGACTGCTCAATTTTTTCTCTCATTTCTTATCTAATTTATAAAAAATTTTCACATCTATTAAGTCCTTGTGCTAAGCACAAACATAACCTAAATTTTTTCTATCTACCGGAGTGGTTTTCAAGAAAACTAACTTTATCACAAATGTTTCTGCCCAACGTTTTTACAATACCCCCATAAAAAATATGGCAGAAGGTATGTCAGAATGTTTTACAAACAGCAAAGAGTGCATCAAAAAGTCTTAATTTTAGCATCATTCTAAACTAAGGTATTATGAGTAAATTGTTTTGCTGATAATTAGAAATGAATCATTAAAATAAAAAAGTTTGTAGTTCATTTTTTTTTTTTTTTTTTTTTTCAGAAATAGTAGTGTTGTTGCACTTTCTGATTTATGAGGTATTAAACCTTGAAAAAAGTATTCAGGTCCAAGTTCTGGATCTAAAGATACCGTAAGAAAAATTTGTTGTGACAAAAAAATTAACACTGAGAAAAATGGGAAAAGCTTTTTAAACAATGCTTACAATTAGCCTGGATAGAAATGTTTGAATCCATGTAACTATATTAATATGCACTTTCGGTGTGTAGTACTTAAAGTGCATGTTGTTTGTAACTTGCAATCTTTTTACAGCGGAGCTGTTAAGGGCTAGTTTCCTCAGGATCGTGTCCCCCGCAAAGAAATGGAGGCACCAAACTCTGGACACCTACCGCCATCTATGAGCGACGGCGGCAAGCCACGTATCTGGTTGCCGCTGTTGCTCATAGATGGCGGCAGCCTTTCCACTTTGGCTTGCTGACTTGCAGCCAGTCATTACTTTCCATTGTACCGCTCTGCTGGTCTTCCTTCTTCACTAAAGTGCAAAGGCTGAAAGTGTTCTTTTTTTCTTTTTAAATGACATTTAAAAAAAAAAAAAAACATTTTAATACAAAGTTTTTTTTTAGTGCTAACATATTAGTAGGCACATCAAACTGTTTGTTGCACATTCGGTTGCAGCTGCGGCATTTGCGAAGCCTCCTCATAGCCGGTGCAGCAGACTATGAGGAGTTGTTTGTCCACCTCAAGCTCCTAGAGCCATCCTTCCAGGCCTTGGTCAGGGATCTACGGTCACAAGTTGTCAGGGAGGCCTGCATCACAATAGCGTGGGTGGCTGCACTGTTCTCCTTTTTGTCTTCGAGGCTTATTTATGTTAATGGTGCTTGTGAAATCACTACTCTGGCAAACTAATTAGTTAGGTGAAGTAGAATTAGTAGGTAATTAGTTAAGTGAAGTAGGCAATTTTTGTACAAGTTATTTTTATGGTGTTCAATTGTCAGTAACGCAGACATGTGTGCTACTATGCCATATACAGTATTTATTTAAAAAAAAAAGTTTGTCTGTTTATGAACAGACCTATCTGTCTACTTTACCGCAGAACTCACGGCGACCAATCATTAAGACTTCCGAAAGGATCCGGCTAAGGAAAAAAAGGAAATAATGCTATGAATTTAAAAAAAAAACGAGTTTCACAAATCTTATTGCTGCTTTCCAACTTATGGTGCCTGTCATTCGCCGGGCCTCTTCCGTAAATTGCAATGATTAGTATTTCTTGAGCGTTGCAGAGAAAAGCACGTGCAGGCATTGCTCATAAAAGATTTACCTATTTTCGAGTAAATATGGTGTTTGGTAGAGTGGAAAAAATCAAGGTGGGCCTGACCCCAGACTTCTTCTTTTGCCATTTCTGGTATTATGGTATTTAAATTATCAACATTGCGACTAAAAAAGAATAGAGATGTTTCAGGTGTAGGTCATTTTTTTTCAATCCATAATACAAATAGAAATGCTTTCATTCATGATATGGTTTACATGTTTTTATTCCTCCAAGTAATAGTACTGCTTGGTACAAAAATGTAGCCTGTTGATGATCTTTGTTCTGCTCTTAGTTGCATCACATGAATGCGTATAACATCTAAAATTCTTCAAAACTTGTAAAAGCATCCTCAACCAAAAAAAAAGTGCAGTGTAATTCTAATTCACTATTCAGGTTTATTTTTGAAAATTGGGGGCTAATCTTACTACCAAGCAATTTGAAGCACTCAGGTATGGAACCTTACTTCCAAGGGTTAACGACCAATGGAATGTGAATATATATATAACCTTTGTTTTCACCTTAAATAACCTTAAAAGAAATCTTGGCCTCTCGTGGTGCTTAAACTAATTTCCCCTTCATTTGGTGAATTAAGATTGTCCTTTGTGCATTTAATATTTATTTATTTTACCAAACTAACACTTTAAATGCAAAAGGCTTATTATTGCTCTGAAAACCAAATTTTATTGCTTTGATAACCACAACAGTTACTTGCCACACTTCCATGAGCTGTGTGCAAAACTTCCTTTCTTTTTTTTAGGTGATTCCGAGCATAGCTTGGTGTGGTGCAGTCATTAGAGAGTTTTAGTAGATCCTTCCAATACCCCCGATTACGATACGATACATGGGCAGAATCGGCGGCTGAGTATCAGAGTCATCGGAAAGATCAACTAAAACTATTGTTGCTGTTGTAGTACTATAAAACTCTCAATATCATCCAAAGGTTTACGAGCCGTATATTTTTTTGTTTTTCTTTTCTAATGATAAGGTTTTATTTATAAACGCCAGTGAGCAATATTTTGGGATGTATCACGATATATCTGCCTTGTAACATATTTCTGCTCCGAGATCTACGAAGCATATAGACAATAAGTTGTTTGCAAAAATGAATCGTCGTTTTTATCATGCATTAGGGCTAGGGTTATTCAGCATAGTTATGCCGACACCTTGTGTCTGATAAATATCTGACATACACTGACAGTTTCTTTTTTATCTCTTCATTGCAGCTACTTATCGCAGCAGCTGGGCCAAAAGCTGGATCGCTTTTCGGAAGCAGTGCTTCCATCGCTTATTAACCTTATTCCAAACAGTGCCAAGATTATGTCCACGTCTGGTATCGTTACAGTCCGTTTCATTATAGAGGTAAGCATATACACCCTTTTTTTTCTTTTTTTTTTTTTCATTTTCTCGGGGTTATCTTTGACGTCACTCTACCGTAGAATACCGCGGATCCGCCCATTCCACATTAAGCGCCCATTATCAAATTTGTGAGATCTGAGAAAATATGCACGGTACATTTATGTGTAAAATTCATGACCGGACAAGCGCCCATCCCTCATTTTTTCGCGATTATCTCCAAAGTTCGAGTGGGTGCTCGCCCGGTATTTTACGGTAGTCACCAACAAGGCGAGAACGTCAAGAGGGGGCTTCAGTTGTCCCGTCTCCAGCGCAAACTTCCTACCTTCAACTGTGCTTCGGTGTCTCGCGCACCTCAAGTGCGTGTGCGTAGCCAAAGCATGGCAGAAGGCAGGGTGCGTGCTGGAGAGTGGGCGTTCGAAAGACACGCCCAGTCGTTCTCTCCTTGTCAAGTGACTATTATTTATTTTGTTTTTGATGAGTACTTGCATGATAGGGAAAAGCCAACGGCGTTTATCTGTGGACAAAGCAGGGAAAGGTTAGCGGGCCGCGTAGAGGAGGAGGGTAGCAAAGGACAAAGGCAAGAGGGAGACGACGTCACGGGGCAGAAGCCAATGCTCGCAAGATGCTGGGGCGAGTCTGAACTTGCAGGCGTGCGTAGCGCATAGTATGCCTTGGTTTGTGCTACAAAATGGAGTGTCAACCAAGTTACTAGCACTGGTCCAAGTAGGCAGCAAAAGAAGTAAAGGAAGATCCATTGGTGGATCCTTAGGGAGTGCGTTAGCATGACCCTTGGGGAACGCCACACACGTCCCCGTTTAAGAAACAGTAACATTGACCCCGTAATGAAGCCAAAAAGAGGCAGCAATAAATATAGGAAGCTAAAGAAAAAGCCAGAACAAAAAGGGGAAAGGGTCAGCGTTAGCATTTCCCAATAGGGGATTGTGTGTGACGTTTCCCAAGGCCCATGCTAACGCATTCCCTGAGGATCCACCAATGGATCTTCCTTTAACTTTCATTTCGGTACCCAACCGTGCGTCTCTCTTTGCCACTCAGCCTCCCACATTCTGCCGTTGTCACCCATTGTAGGCAATTCTTTTTATACGTTGAGGTGGAATCGTCAGATATCTGTATCTTTGACACATGGTATTTTTTCTTGGAAGCTAGCAAATTACTAGCAACTAAGGGTAACGAGCGAAGGCTTATGAGTAGGATTTCACGTTTTCGGAATTTATTTTTTGTGGCATTCGGAGGTTGTTTTACGGAAATTATTTTTTGCTGGAAGTTTGGTGTCTATCGGGAGTTTATTTTTGTTAGATTTCCAATTTTCTGAAATTTTGAGTTCTATTTTACTCTGTTCTTATTTTATTTAAATAAAAAAAAAAATGTGAACAAAATCTTAAGGCAAAATTCCTGAAAATATCACCTCTACCTCATTTAATATTTATGCATTTGGCATTGGCACCCTTGGGATTGCCAGTACTAGTTGTTGCACGACAAAGCTTGGAAAACAACACTGTTACTTCAATAAATGCCTGTGCTTAGAAATTGCCAAACTCCTGGATGCATAAAACCTGCAGCTGCCCTTGCCATCCTATGATATCTACAGCTTCAGATCTTTCACTTATATGAAAACATAACCTTTCCTCTAAGAAGCACAAATGGTATGGCGCTTGTCTGTGTCGTATGTGTGTCTTTTTTCGTCCTGTTCTGTTGGTACCATTTAACCTTTTAATTTGTATGGTTCAAACTTAAAACTAACAGTGGCTTTTGTCGTAGTCCAGAAGTGCATTTGGCCCATTGTACTGAGTGAACCCTGTCGAAACAATTGGCAAACTCCCTCTTGTCAATAATCCAAAATCAAAAAAAAGGACCGCATCTTCACGTGGGGAATGATGTTGATTGGAGCGAAGCTCTGGTGGTGCTTGTCTGCGTAGACGCTGAGCTGCAGCATGCCGAGCCTTTCGTTCGTTTTCATCCATGTCAGAAAGAGAATGTATGGTATGGAACGTGGTTATATGCGCATATGAGCATTTGACCGCAGCGCCCTCTCGTCTATAAACGTTGAACCAATGCATGCAAAGTTTAACGCGATTGTATACGCATTTGACCACAGCACCCTCTCCTGTATAGACGTTTTGCAGCTACATGCAACGTTTCATCCATGAAATCCCCAGCTCTTGAGTTACTACCACATCTCTGAGCCCCCTACTCATCCCGCAGTCGCGACCGAGTGGCTAAGGCAATGGTCTAGAAATCCATTGGAGTCTCCCCGCACAAGTTTAAATCCTGTCAACTGCGCAAACATTTTTTTTTTTTTTTTGCTTTACACGAGCACGTGAGCTGACGAGCACGAGCGCCACCAAGATCGATGTGAGCACGGACGCCGGACGGACAAGGCTAAGCCCTAAGGAGCTTCGCCCCTAAAAAAAAACTTTAAAAAGAGCTTAATTGTTTTTTTTTCTTGAGGACCACTAACCCTGTGCTCCGACAAAGTTTATTCATAAATTACCGTCTTCTTTGGCTTTTTATTTTGCCGTCAGACCTCGAAATTCAGTTTTTCGGATAAACCTGACTTGTCAAAAGTTTTACCAGCAAGTGTTTTTCGGAGTTTTCAGATTTATCCGAAAACACAGAACCTACTTATAAATGATACATGTTTAGGGTTCTGGCTTTAGCTAACATAGTGCTGTGTTGTCTCCTGAGTCCCCACCTACTGGAACCTCGGCTTGTGTGCTCTGTTCATCTCCTCATTCTCATTCTTCATTCTCATTTCAGCACACACATGCAAGCCGTTTAATACCGGTCATCACATTGAACTTAAGCTCCAAATCAAAGGAAATCAGAAAGTAAGTAATGTTGCACCCTCTACAGGGCCCTAAATAAATGGCAGTGCAACTTGTTTTTGTGTGTTAACTATACCTTTCTAGTTGGCCAACAATAGTTTTTTTCTGGTTTCCTGCATGTATAGTTTTTATCATTGCACTTTGGTCATTTCATGTCAAAAGATAAGTGGTAATTTTTTCATGCACTGAAAAGTCAATTTGGATAAAGAAGCCTCTAAACTCCAAGAAAAACATATTTTTGTGAAAAATAATTTTATTTTTACTGATCTTGTGCTCTAAATTGCAGAAATTTGCATAAAACTTGCATAGTTTAGAAAAACATTGTGAAAAAGTTTTTAGTCAACTTGAATTTGGTTGTTAGCTAGAATACTTTTTTTTGTTCTCATAGAACTACTAATTTAATTGCATGTGTAAAATTTTCAACGTCTCATTTTGTTGCATTTTATTAAATGACAAAATCTCCGATTTATGCAGAAACAGCCATATTGAGAGCCAAAAAAAGCAATGGGGGCAGCGGTGCCCAGAACTAGCCAAAAGTTTCATCCACCTCATCTGTTTAACATATAAAAAAAAATAAGAAAAGTACTTTTTGTTGTTGCTGAGAAATTATTTTTTAAAGATGAGCCTCTCCGACCATGCCTCCAGGTTGAAGCTTTCGGAGTTGAAAGGTTGGGAATCGGGATTCAGCTTGAATGGCTCCTTAAAACTTTCGGAGTTGAGCGCGCGTGCATGTGTCGCAGCTCGCTGCTTGGTACCTTGCTGCGTTGTCATTCGTTTCTCGCCTCTCTCTTTGCTTGTTTTCACTTCTTCCGCGCAACGTCCTTGCCATCCTTGCCCCCGCAAGTGTACCGCCTGCGCCGTTATCTGGTGTTGCACAGGGAAGCGTGCTTGCTGCGTAGGTCGGTCGGCAGGCTGTTCCAGAACCGCAGTGTAATTTTTATTTCCCTTCGCTCGCCTGCATTTTACGCTTTATGGATTTACATGGACTTGTATGGGAGGCGAACCGGGGTTTGAAAAAAGTTGTGTTATATCCGTTCCTGCACTATAGGTGGAAACGTTATAGGTGGTCTATTACTGCAGTGGATCTCGTGGCTTAGTTCATACTGAATGACGGATAGCGTCTGAGCATATCTTGTCGTAGGCCTGGGCCACCTGGACTATGGAGGCCACACCCTTCATACAGCTCTCAGTTGGCAGAAGAGACCCTTAGCTTGCACCAAAATATGGTGCCCTCCCTATTAATATGGTCAATTTGGCCAGACCTGTTGCTTGTGCCACTGGCAAGATGCTTGTTCTGAGACTGTCCGTGGTTTACTTGTGCTCTTCCCCAGGCTCTGCTTTGAGTTTCTGGACCAACTGTTGCACACATGGCCCACCCATACCTTGGAGAGGCACATTGCCATCCTGCAGGAAGCCATCAAGAAGGGGATCAGCGACGCTGACCCAGAGGCACGGGCCTATGCACGCAAGTGAGTCTCCTTTTGTTGACTGCTTCATAAGTCGTAGTGATAGGTTTTTCCTACACATTAGTGATTCATGCTGTTCTTGACTGTTCCCAGTCTGAACTAAATTGTAGCGCGGGTCTTGTATCGGTGTTTTGGATGGGTCGACAGCCTAGCTCCGAAGACTGATCTTTGATTGTTTGTAGAAGTCTAAAATGAATTCAGCGATTACAGTAGTTGCATTCTAAGTTTAATATGGGGTGGCTCATCCCCAAAACATTTCCAGTTATTGGTTCTGTCGTAGATTTGTGTGTAAACTAAAAACTTTATTACTTTTTTTGTTACGTTGTTTCAGGATTTGCGATAAATGCATAAAAAATATAAAATTATGACAAAATTTGAATTTAAGTCGAGTGTCAGGAAAAACAAACTCTCTGAGGTGAGGTCACTATACCACCGGGCACAATGCCAAAGTTCACAGTATTGAATGAGCAATGGGGATTTAGTCGCTTATTGAATCTGCGTGTAATGCAAAGGGTGCTAGAAGCAGTAGCCGAATGATAATTCAAGCCTTCACAAAGGTCTTTCTATGTTGCCATCCCTACATTTTAAAGCTTAAACATTTTTCCGAAGAGCTTCGAAGTATTGGGATACTATGTGCGGAGCATCGACCAATCTTAATTCTGCCGGACACCCGCAAACCGGTAATTGGATTCAACTTCACGATGCTTAGGGACCGTACATTAAAAAATCTCCAACCGTGGCCCCATGCAGAGTGTGAGTGTTTCCCTCCCTCCCCGTTGTTAGGGCGTTCTGGGGCTTTGCGAACCACTTCAAGGAGCAGGCGGACGTGCTGCTCAACTCCCTGGACAGCAGCAAGCAACGCATGCTGCATGGGGAGCTGTGCATGAGCAACTCCTCCAGCAGCAACTCCATCAACTCCACTCCGGGGAGGCCCCTCAAGCACTCGGTGTCCAGCCACGGCTCCATGGAGAACCTCAGGTCGGTCGGCCGCCCGCCGCTGCTGCCGCCGCCACCCTAGTCTGTATTGCAGTAGTTCTCAAACTAGATCTCAAACAACTGTAAAAGGAGCGCCGATGGAACACAGTTGTGCAGAAGCTTACAGATCTTGTAAATGGTAATGCGCATGGTCCTAAGGAGCTCTTAGTTCATAGTCCTACGTCAGTGACAGAGCCGTAAATGTAGAGAGTTTGGCCATTTGTTGGGAAGTATAGGAGACAAATGAAGCGGCGCCATTGGCCGAAAGCGGGCTGGGCGTGTTCCAGGGCGTCTTCAGAAATTCGAATGTGACCAACCAGAAGCCGGAAATAATACCCTGGCGGTGGTCGCGAGAAACAAACCTGATAACTGCAATAGAGTAACTCTCGATGACTGAAAATATGGTACACGGGATGTTTCAATCACACTCATCTAAAATGATGGTGGAAGAGTGCGACTAGCGGAAAGATCGACATAATCCTTACGCCAAACACCGAGCGCCGGGAATCTGCCGTCAGAGCGGTCACACTCTGTCCGCGCAAAACAGAGTAGAGCGGCGCATTCGTTTCTTACATCTTTCTGCATGATCATGATGAAACAACACGTGCACCCTATTTTCAACCACAGAGTTACTACACTTCACTCTTGCGCACTTATTAAAACCATATACGAACATAGACCTTCGATGATCGATCGGCTCAGAACTGTTTCTTGCTACCACCGCTAGAGGATTCTTTTCGGCTTCTGGTTGGTCAAGAGAGCATGCCAAGCCCTCTCTAATTACCTCTTTTCGAGTTTGCCGCACGCCCTGGCTCTGCCCCCTCTGCCCGCGCCTCCCATTGACCAAACTCTCTACATATACGGCTCTGGTCAGTGAGTGCCGCTGAAATGTAATGTTTAAACTGTAGAAATGGTTTGCTTAGGGGAGGGACGCTGGAAGAAATTTGGGAGCTCGGGGAACCCGTGAGGAGGGTACTCTGGGGAACCTTTGGGTTCCCGGGAATCCAGTTTGAAAACCTGTGCTGTACCTTTTACACACACTACAGCGCACTATAGCAAATAACACTCACTCCTTACACACGAAAAATAAAGCAAGTTTGTGTGTAAGGAGTGAGTGTTATTTGCTATAGTGCACTGTAGTGTGTGTAAAAATGAGCAACCAACTCGCCCAAGCTGCTACGTTAACTGCGCTGTACAGCATCGTTGATTGCTGCTGCACAAGGCGGTCACCCTGGTGTTTTAGAACGTGTCCTTTAATAGGGGTTTTTCCGTCCATAGGATATGGCTTAGGTGACATTTTGGAGTTCACGTGACGTCATTGTTCTTTTGAAAGGCTCACCGTGACATTATCACTTAAACGACGCAATGATGTGGTGGTGTTTTTGCACAACATCTTTGCCGTGATAATCGTCGTGCGACACCGTGACATTATGGTGTCGCATGACGTGAAGTCATGTGACGTCATGTCGGACAGGCAGTCTTTTTACTGTCTGTCGGTCTCGTTAAAGATGGGATATTTACTTTATGATTGAGCTGCAGTGGAAAATGCTGACTCGGAACTGCTGTCCTCGATTTGTGCCAGAGGTTTTTTGTTTTTTTTTCTGTTTAAGAAAGTTTTAAAGGGCAACTCCGCTTCAGTACTATTGATATTCAGGAAACTATGCAGCCGTCTTCAGTATCGTCTAGGAAGACCACATGTCAAATATTACGATCTAATTCGTTCTATGTATTTAACAAACTGGCCAGCAAACTTTCAAATGAGCCAAGCCGCCGAAATCTGCTAACTATAGCATGCGACATGAGGTGCAATCAACGGTGCAGTCAATACGACTGAGTTGAAGCAGCCAACATTGAGCCACTATGTCAGTCATGTCTGTCATTCTCACGTTTTGTTTGTTTTTACTTCTCAGAGCAAAAGTTTAACGATGACGTCATGAGTTTTTCCTCCCGGTGTTGGCTCAACGGTGTCCACGTGTTCACCATAATACGGAAGCGCTAGGTTGTGCTGCCCTGTGTGCCTCTCAGAGCTGGGAGCTAAGAGCAGTCTGTTTCGTCTCGCCGTTGTTGTAGTTTGAAATTGACGTTTTGTTTACATTACGAGCGTGAGCCGCATATCTGATTACTAGCTGCAATGCCTGGCAAAAGATCCATAGGCTCACGATGTTGTGTTGCTGCCTACTTGAACTACCAGTTGACCAGCCCAGGAGTTGTCTTCCACAAGTTTCCACACGACAGTGCGTATCTGAATGTAGGGACGGACATCCTGTGCCGGTGGAACTCCGGGAAGCCATTGTCGCCAAATTGCAGAAACAAATCTGTTCCGATTGCTTGTGCTCATGACACTAATTTGCTGTTACCAGCTAAATAGCAAAACGTGCATGGAAAAATCAGTTCCGCTGTGAAACCAAATGAATGTGCACTGGAGCATACTTATCACGACATTTATAATTTTTACTGACTATTTTGCTATTGACAATAAACTTGTAGTCTGCTGTACAGCTTTGTGAAGGTACACAATTCATGCTACTAAAGCAGGAGACACGTGCACGATCAAATGAGCACCGCGTCGGTCGCACTATGCTCCGGGTATTTCCAAATGTACGAGCATATATGTCTCGCGCCTGTAGAAACCAGGCACGATACTCTGCTATTTTCGGTAAAATAAATGTGAACTTGGAGCTTTTTGTGCCACACCTACAAACGGTATCTGGCACGCGCGAGCGGAGGCCTGATGAATAGTTTGGACCATCTGGGGATCTTGTGACGTGTAACTGAAATTTAGGTTATACGGTGCATTCGTAACAATAAGCCCGCGTGAAATTGCGAGCACCTCCGTCGAGATTCCAACCCGAAGGGCAAGCTGGGGCCGCAGGGGTGCAGACGTCGTTAGATGTTGTAGCAAACTACATTGGCGAAAATTGTGGAGCAGATGACACTTGCTCTCTGTTCTACGTTCGCCCGCCATCACACAGAGGATCATGTGACCTTTTGGACCACGTGGTTTGGCGTGACGTGGACATGACTGACGAAACGAGATCAATGTTTCCTGTCGCAGCCAAAATTTTGGTTTCGGTATCTGCTGATGTTTAAACTAAGATTACAGAAATAATATTCCACATTTCGCAAATCTGAAGACGAACGGCTGTTTAGTAGTGCTTTAGAAAATGGAATCGCATGTAAGCCTAAAATTTTTGGAATTGAACAGATTTGCCTTTAGAGATAACACTGGGTTAGTGCAAGTTGCAGTAAGCTATTCTTATGCTCGAGGTACTAAATTGGAAAGGTAAGCTAGGTTATTAATAACCGAAGCTAATGCTGGGCTGATGTGAGGGTATGTGCTTTTAATTGTTTCCCTTTTCTCACTTAGATGCTAGGGATTCTTATTCTTTTTGCCCTGCCTCTTCCACAGGCCCGGCAGTGGCGTCTCCACTTTGGGACGTCGGTCTGGAGTGCCCGTCTACAACAATGCCAGGAGCGCCTCGGGTATCTTTCTTTTCGTTTTTCACGCTTGCTTTCTTCTTCTTTATTCTTAAAAGGGCTTTTTTGGGCACTTTCATTTTCTTTGTTTCTAGAACTCATATGTTTTGCCAGTCTGATTTGTTTCTTTTTGGATTGTCTCTACATTTTCATTTTTTTTTTTTTTTTTTTCTTTAAGCACACATAAAAGAGAATGTTATGACCTACGTTGCTTCCTTCACTCTTAAGCTTGCCGCATTTTGTTTTAACACAGAGGAGCATGTGACACAAAAGTCTCATTTGAATTCTTCCTTTTGTTTGGTTGACTTTTTGTTGCTTTGCTTTTAGTTCGTTCCAATAGCGCCATTGACTTGGGGGCGGCTCGGAGGGCTCGACTGCGTGCCGGTTTCTCGGTGCAGAACAGAGGTGCCGGAGCGTCCTTGCGTAAGTGCGGGCCGGTGCGGCACGACCTCACTCCTCAAGGCACTCACTTGCACAAGAGTGGCTGGGACAAATCTAGCACTGCACCCGTGCAGAAGCACCGTCTGGGGCAACCTGCTGGCTCGCAAACTTCAGTACTTTTGATTCGCATTGTGGAATCCTGTTGGCGTGGTTGATAAACTGCAGATGGTTGTTTACATTTCATCCTAGGGCTATGAAAGGTGCTGTTTGGGTGCTTTACACAATCTAACGGCACACAATCACGGGGCAGCAGTATAGGTTGCACATTAATAGAACTAAACATGCTTGTGCGGATTTTTCAACTACTACTAGTTACTGAAAGCCTTTCCATTTGTTATGACCTCATTCATTATTTTTTCTTTGCTTCCTCTATATAGCTAAGTTTTAAATATTTAGGTGACGATTTAGCGCAAGTTAAATCACAGCCGCATATTTAGTGTGTCCCCAAATAGCATTGACTCGTGGCCTCAACACTAGTCATTCAAAAGCTTCGAGAAGCAGCAGTGTTTCTGTATTTGCTTTCACTGAGTTTTTCTTTGTACGTTTGCAGCCCGCCCTGGAACGAAGCGGGCGGACAGCGTATCTAGCAACATGGCTTCGCCAGAACGGATCAGTCGAAGTCGGACCAAGGGTGTTTCCCAGTCGCAACGTGAGTGTTCCCACGCTTCCATTTTTAGTGGCCCTGCTCCCAACAATGTTCACAGGGATTTTTTTTTTTTTTTGTCATAAAAGCTGGGATGAGCCAAGTTTTTAACACCGACTTTACAATCTTGAAGGGTGGGAAAAAAGAGGAGTGTTGAAATGTCAATACTAAGAATTGGCATACCGTGTCCTTATCTCAATGTGTCGTCCCCGCAAAAGAAAAAATTACAGTGCTCTTTTTTTATTTTTTCTTTATTGCAAAAATAAACTACCCCTATGCATTGCCAAATGCTCATTCTCTGCACAAATGTGGCACCAGCGGTCTGAACCGGATGCCCGAGTTTCAGAACTATCTGTTATCTTACTCAAAAGTTATAGGCGATCTCCTGAAAATTTCAAAGGGAAAATTGGAATTGTTTTTCCTAAATGGCACTATTCGGCCCCATGTACCATTCGAGAGGTCAGTCGGGTCCCTTTTTCGCAATCAAAATTTCAAAACGTCTCATAAATTTATATTGAAATAACGGTTAGTTCTAAAATTTTGGCATCTGGTTTAGACCACCACCACTACATTTGGACAGAGATTGATCGTTCGGCAATGCGTAGCTTATTTTTACGGTGGAAGACACCCTGTAAATTGTTTGGGGGGACACCCTGTATTTTTCATACTCCCAAAGCTTATAAGGTCTGACTTACACTTCTGTTATGGCTGTTGCTATATTTCTCACTTTCAGTCTGGCAACCTAAAATGTACCCCTCGTGCAAAAAACAAAACAAAATAACTCAGCCTTCACATTTGGGTGAAGAAGTTAATAGCAGCATAGCTATAGCTTCTGGTCTCGGCAGTGGCTTTCCAGGCGAGATTTGAAGTGCTCCATGCAGTGGAACTTTAGACGATAGCAGCGTTTCGGTGGTTGCGGAACCATTCGCGCTCCTCTTCTTCCTCCAAAGAAATGTTGCCGCCATCTGTGAGCGACGGCAGCAACCAGTTGTCTGGTTGCCGAGGCTGGAACGGTTGCCGCGATCTATTAGCGACAGCAACAAGCAGACAACCGGCAAACAGAACACTCTGGAAAGCTACCGCCATCTACGAGCGACGGCGGCAACCAGTGTGTTGTGTTGAACACGGGTGTCGAAATATGTTTGGTGCTGGACACGATCCTGGGGAAACTAGCCCTTAACAGCTCCGCTGTAAAATATTGCTGCTTTTGATTTGCTCCCAATGCATTCACATGCATTGCAGTAAAGCTGCTGGTCGAGTGGTTCACTCTATTCCAAAGGTTTCCACACTATTTGACAATGTTTCTTGAGGTTTAACTTTGGTGCGAGTTAGGGGCGCAATGATTACAAGAATGCACATTTCAAAACAGCCTTAGCAGGAATCAGACACTGAAGCTTTATTGCATTTTATTTGAAGAGAGTAGTGACAGCACGTCTCATCCCAGTAGTAGTAGTACTTTTTGCCCAACTTTCCATCATGAGGGAAAGATAATAAAACCCTGCTATTGTTCCTTTGCGCCAACCGTGTCACACGCTGTACATTGTCAGTGCACCTTGGGCTTTCCGAAGGAGACTGAGCCTAGTGTTCTGCCGCCATGCCCACTCCCCCTGGAGGAGAGTGACGTTGCGTTCCTTCTGCGCCGGTGCAGCAAGCAGCAGGTCCGGGTCGCCGTCGTCTCGGCTCAGCTACGCCACGTACCAGAGCCACGTGGACGGGGGAGGCCGGGTGCGCCGCAAGTCTGGCATCCCGACCCCTGTGGGCACCAGCCGGGAATCCAGCCCCACCAGGCTCATGACGCCCGGCGCATCCCCCGCCACGGGCATGGGAAGTGAGTGGTGCCTTCCTTGGCCTTGCATCCGTGTTCCGAGCCTTTCGTCCAGGCTTGCGTTCGCCGTGGTTTGCACTTTCAGTTTCAGTATTCCAATCTCTCGAGTGTTCTGTCCCAATGTTCCCTTTGGTACTTGAACTGTGTATTCCATTATAGTAACGGTAGAATGGGAGAATGTTTCCATGTTTGGGAGATATGCCCTTTCATAAAGAATTGTAAAAAGAAAGTTGGGCAGAAACCTTCGGCCACAGTATTCATGAAAACTAATATACCTAGATTGGAAAAAAATGAACTTCTAACTGAGCTCAGTGCTTAGCGTGCAAAATTAGAGTGGGTGTAAAAATTTCATGTAGATCTAATGAAAAATGGTACAGGTTTCAAGGCTAATATCTTTTCTCAAAGGGCCCCTGAAAAGGAAATGTTTTTTTTTTTTTAAACTAGTTAGAACATGCGTGTCTGAGCAAGGGGGAGTTCTTCCTTTCCCTCTTCTTGAACTGTTTGGTATGCTGTGTGATATATGTGTTCAGAAGAAAGGCTAACAAGGAAAAAAGTAAAACAATTGTTTCACGGCCCCCTAACGAATAGTGGGAGTTTCTGGTTCTTTGGTATTTTTCAATAAACATTGATAAATGTACTTTGAATGTTATTTTTTGTGTAATAGATCCTTCAGACAGCGCGGTGGGAACAGAACTACAGTTTATTTCCGTATGAGCGTTTATATACACTGGGCATTTTATGATAAGCGGGGGAGGGGAGGGGAGGGGAGGGGGAGGGGAAGGGGGAGGGGAGGAAGGGAGGGAGGGAGGGAGGGAGGGAGGGAGGGAGGGAGGGAGGGAGGGAGGGAGGGAGGGGGGGAGAGTTTGATATAGACAATATGTTGTTCATTATTAAAAAGTACTTTTTACATGCATTTTTATTTAAATTTTGCATGAGTTCGATATCGACAATAATTCGCTGTACATGGGTCCGTTTTAAACGGGTTTCACTGTATGTAGTTATTAGAGTAGATGAGATGCTGGCTCGGTAACAGTGCCTTTTTGAGAATACCTGAGTGAAAACAGTTGTGTCATCAAAGAAACATGTTTTAAATTGAGGCAGCTTCGTGTGTTTTCCAGCTACTTCTGCTCTATGACATAGTAATCATGACAAGGGTCACTACATTGTCGGCTGTACGTTGAATCTGTTGTGTTGCTTCTTCATATGGAGGAAAGGAGAGAGACTTGCGCAGGCAGCAGTTGAGTGACGTTATGTTCCCCGTGTGCAGTGTACGAGCGCAGGCTGAGCACAGGTTCCAGGCGCCCTTTCACTGGAGCTGGAGAGCGCTACCACCCCACCACCATCACCTGTGAGTGTGACTGCGACAGTACTCACTACTCATAGTAAATTACACTCACCGAACCATTCATTTAAAAAATAACACAATCAACGGTTCCACGGCAAGCGTAGTTGGTCCCTTCAGAGATTTAACAAGATGGAACAAGCGCTTACTCTGTATAGACATATATCTGATCGTTGAGCAACTGGTTCGATAATAGCCTGGGTCCATGAAAGCCAAATCTCAAGGTCTCCAGATGTGGGAATAAGGGAAGGAAAGAGTCTGTCAACCATAGTTTTCTGCTCAGTAAATGGTAAGATAGTGTGGGTTCTCCTTTGGGGGGTACGTCACAGAAACACTGTAGGTTCCTTGGAAGACGTGTTCATTGACTTTGATGCCAACACATTTGCCCAAAGGCCAACAAAGCTTGAGATAATGCCGCTGCCTTTATTGGCAGGATCACGGAAGGGGGAAGGTCTCAAGAAAGCAGGGCTCTGTCGAACAGGGCCATCCCCCAGCAAGAGTCGCTCTTGGCTGTAGTTTTGAACCTGCTTACGTATATAGACAGCGGAGTGGTCAGCAGTAGATTCGCTCCCCGGAGGGGCGGACGTGTCCAAGAATCCGAAGCGTGTGCCTGTGGCAAATCACCAGAGAAGGGCGAAAAAGAGCCGTTTACGAGGGAATACGGCTTTGTCTCGCATCCGTTATACGCCCGACATGGCGACACCCCATGGCCTGCCTCAGCCAGGCCTAGATAAAGATGCAGGGAACAACATGGTTCCCACAATAGACAATGTCTGGAAAAAAAAAAAAGTGAAAGCCGTTTACAACTTCCTGTAACGCCGAATTGGAGCGCAGCTCTTGAGGAGGAGGAGTGGAGGGTATATTCCTCCTCCTCCCTCGTGATCATGCCTGCTAGTCCTCCTCCCCTCCTGCTCCCCCTCCCTCTCCTTTACCCCTCCCCCCGAGGTCACGTGACCCCCCGGGACCATACTAGACAATGAGGGGAGGAGGAGGAGGGCAGAGGTCTGGGGGGTCACGTGACCTCGAGGGGACGGGATCACATGACCTTGGGCGGGCCGTCACGTGACTTCGGCGGGGGGAGGGGAGTCACCCCCCGGGGAGCACGTGTCCTTGGCGGGGGAGGAGAGGGGAGGAGGAGGAGCGGAGGAGGAGGAGGAGGAGGGGGAGGGGCGACGCCGACGCCGCACAGGCTGGAAACGGGTCATGTGACCCCATCCCCCCGAGGTCACGTGACCCACCCGGACCATACTACACAATGAGGGGAGGAGGAGAAGGAGGGGGAGGAGGAGTGGAGGAGGAGGAGAGGGAGAGGCGCGGTTACGCCGACGGCGACGCCAACGGCGACGCCGACGCCGCTCAGGCTGGAAACGGGCCCCTAAGAGCTGCGCTCTAAAAAAAAAAAGGAGCAGGCCTGTGTGAATCCACAGTAGAGTCGTATTGATAGCTGCAACACCTTATCGGACCATAATGTACTTTTATGTAATCTTACACTTGCCCCTTACGTGGAAAAACGTAATGTGCTTGGGAGAGTCATGCACTCTCTCACACATAAGCCCTCTAACTAGGGTGACCAGACGTCTCGTTTTGGCGGTGACCAGCGCCGGCTCTACACCATCAAGCGCCCTGGGCAAACTCCGGTCGTGGTGGCCCTTCCCTTTTTTTTACGCCCCTATCTACTAGGTATGGCATCACGTTTTAGTAAATATGTGAGTAGTGGCCCAACAAGAGCATTTTGTGAAACGAGAACCGCATTAAAAAGACAAATGGCGATCGAGCATATAGCTTTGTGTCGAGCACCGTGTTCAAATAAATCAAAAAGATAAAAATATCACGAGCCATTCCACTCTGTGAAAGTGCATGACCAGCGAAGCTGTTTAGCACACGACACAGACGTGACACAGAATTTTGAACTAAGGTACAAACACATTTATTGTCTTGATTGGTGGTCATTGTGATGAAAGGTACGCACACACTTTTTTTTGTTGTCTTGATGGGTGTCATCATGGTGAAAGGTACGGTCATTATTCCGCGTGGACGACAATCGCCTGGGTTGCCGCCTGGGTCGCCCACCACTAGGGCCGTCGGGACAGTCCTGTTTTAAAGGTGCAATTCTGCCGTCCCGTCTTTTTCTTTCAATGAGGCCTCCTCTCCCGTTTTTGTGGGAATGTGCGTGCATAGTGGTGAAATTAGAGCTAAGCGAGTGGAAGAAATTTATGAAAAGACAATTCTATTTTAAAAAATAATCATGCTATAAAACTGTTACCTCCCATAGAGTGAATTTAGAGCTCTTCCTGTGGTTTCATATGTTGATACATTCTGTTTGCACAGACGTTTGTTCAGGGCAATTTTTTATATTAGTATATTTTGCATGCTTCTGGTTTCTTTAAAAATAAAGGAGAAAGGTGCTTGTGTACTCAACTAAACGAAGGATTTTGGAAAAATGTGAATTTGTACAGTGGAACTGAATAGTAGCAGAGCTTGTTTTTTCTTTCGGCCTCTCTCCCGCTCTGCCCCTGCCCCCATGGACGTCGCATTTTCTATGCTGCAATTACGGTCACCCTACTTCTAACAGACAAAACGTGAGACACAGATGACCATAGTGGCAGTCACCACAACCACGGCGATCTAGTGGGTGCTGCATGAGTCTCATACGTGCAAGTGTGTTCACCGCATGCAGTTTACTGAGTGTCGTGTTGAGGCAGCTGACGTAGCTCTGCGGTAACGCGCTCTCCTTGCAACCAGCAGACTTGGAATTGAATCCTGAAAACACATGGCAGGCTTCTGTTCTTTAAGCATTTTGCGATATCTGTGACAAACATCTTGCATCGCCCTGCATCATTTAAAGCGGGGGAAGAGCCCATCACAGCTATCGCTGTAAAAAGACAGTCTTTGCTGAAACACTGAGTGTAACATTGGCATGATCAGAATCTCAGTGCATATCTCATTTCTTAGTCCCAAGATTATTGGTACCTCTTTCCCTGTCCTTGTCCAGGTACCAACATTATCATTACTTGGTCCCTTTACGTTAATCACAATGATTGGATTTAAGTGGGCAGTGTAAAAATGTACTTCTGGTCTTTGTTCATATAAAAGTCTGCTCATTTTCAATAAATGTGACAGTTTTATTTCGGGCATTTGACTCGGACAGATTTATTGTATGGCATTTTCATCAAATCATTCCATTATATGCATCTATATTACGCTAAATTGGGGTGCCAACATAGAGCAATTAAGTATTTACTGTAGAATACCGTGCATCCGCCCGTACCACATTAAGCGCCCATACCCAAATTTGTAAACTCTGAAAAAATATGCACAGTTCATTGATATGTAGAACTGATGACCAGACAAGCGCCCATCCCCCATTTTTTTCATGATTATCTCAAAATTTTGAGTGGGCGCTTGCCTGGTATTTTACGGTACATCTGTTTAAAGTATGTGCATCTCATTTGAGCTACACTATAATGTAGCTTCCATTTATGATGCTCTGACACGCAGTAATATTTTTTCTCCTTCGTTGTTCCTTTGCAGCTCCCACTCCCCTGATGGCCCAGAAGATACTGCAGCAAAGCAAGGAGGCTGAGGTCGCAGTTGCAAATGCCTTAGTTTCCTTGGTAAGAGGACAGGTCCCTTCTGTTCCTTTAGTGACTGGCTTTGCCAGGAACAGCAAGAATGCCATTGCATTGTCGTGCCTTCGAATCTAAAGCCAAACTTTGGTTAATGCTAAGGTTGTGAGACAAGTGGGATGTCTGAGTTTTAATGGCGACCGTACCGTTTTTTTTTTACTCGTGCAGGACTTCCCCCAAAGGAAGCATCGCTACAATGCTTTCGACGACCAGTCGGATGAAAGCGAGACCTCCAGCGTTTGCTCGGACCGCTCCTACGGCTCCTACAGCCGCGGAAACTACGAGGTACCGGTTGTTTCACCCTTCGTCTCAAAAACAAGCTAGCGTCCGTAGAGTGCGACTGCTTCCTCGGCCCGAGAGAATGTGAATGGCAGAGGGGGGCCATGCGTGAAGCACCCCTGGGTGCGTACGCAGGACGTGCCGAGCATCCTGAAGCACCTGGCGAGCATCCACTGGTCGGACCGCAAGGAGGGACTACTGGGCCTGCTGTCAGTGCTGCGGTCGGGACGCACCTTGTCCGCCCCCGAGCTCAAGAAGGTCACCGACATGTTCGCCAAGATGTTCATGGACCCCCACACCAAGGTGCCCCTCCTCCTCGTCTAAGCCGGGTCCAAACAGGCGGTGTGACGACTCTTGTATTTTGCGCGGGTGCCGCCTAGAATGAGTCTTCGGCGTTTATGACAGACTAAACATGCATTGGTTTTTCCTCCCATGCAACGGAAGTTGCGGAAAAAACGAGAAAGAAAAGCAAGCGGCATTTGCCCCCTCGACTGGCAGCCAGAACGAGCGGCCAAGTTTTCTGGAGCTGAATATGTGCCGCTCGTGTTTATTGTGGCTATGCGGCGGGATTGGCAGAGTACAGGACACACGCCGAACTCCAGACATTGTTATGGTTTGGCTATTGTCGTCATTGCAGTGATTAGACCCAGGCCACTACCCAAATGCTTGTCGAGCCATCGATTATCACGAGCCCAAATTGAGCGCAAGCGTAATGATCGGGTCCAATCTACGAGCCGCATTCAAATACAGTCTAATCTCGTTAAATCAAACTTGAAGGGAATCGAAAATTTGTTTGAATGAGCTAGGTTTGAATTACCGGGAGTTTTCTCCCATAGGGATGCATAGGATGGGACCTGCATGTTAGTTTGAATTTTCGCAAGTTCGAATTGAGAGATTTTAAATTAAAGAAAGTAGACTGTATCATTGTTCGGGCGACCATACCAGCATCGCGACCTGCGAGCTATGTCAAGTTTTGTCAAGAAGAGACCAAAGACCGAACCTTCGCTCTTATCCTTGAAATTACGCTGCAACAAAGAAGTTCTTGGGTTCATGGATTCACGTGCGAATATACTTGGGTCTCACCGGTGCCAGCAAGCTTGTGCGAAGTCCCTTTTGAGGGCTGCACATCTGGCATGCTCAGTTCCCACCACGGGCCAACAGTGGGAAAGAGGTTGCATCATTGGCTGAACCACTCTGTCATCCATCTGTCGCACGATTGTGCTTTCTGCAAGTGCTGTTGCTCGGCAAAGGGCAGAGGGTCGATTTGTCCAGTCAGTACGCTTTTGCTTTACCATCCGTTTGGTTGCATCTCTCGCAAATTAATCGTCGGCAGGGGCGTCGACGAAACGGCTGCCAATGGGTTATCCTGAAACCCCCACTTTGACTGCTTCTCTGTCAGGGGTTGTGGTGACGTCAGAACGCAGAGCTTCGATTGACTCCAATTGAAGGATACAGTGGAATCTCGTTAACTAGGACCCGAGGAAGACCCAGACTTTGTTTGATTAATGTTATGTTTGAATTGCCAGAAGTTTTCTTCCTAGGAACACATGGGACGGGACCTGTGTGTTAAGTTGAATTATTCACGAGTCTGAATTAACGAAATTCCAGTGTATTGAATCGACCTCGAGGCAGCTCTTCCCACTACCCTTCAATCAGAGTTGGCGTTCTGACATCATTACAACCCCTGCTAAAGAAGCAGACAGACTTGCACTCTGCATAGGAGAAGCTGGGAGGTGGTGTGCTTTTGAGGTCTTGTAACGCAGAATGTGTTTAGTTTTCTGCGAGAAAATCGTCGCAAGTGAGCGTCGTGAACGACCGACACCCTGGAAGCATTGCGCAATGTTAAGGTCATATCCAAGACTTGGATGGGCCCGTGTAAATTCAGCGTAAGAGAGACACTGGGCTTGAACTCGAGTCGCCGCGGTGGCAGTCGTATACTAGCACACCCTTCCAGGCCAGCTGTGCTACGCAGCTGGTCTCCAAGGGCAAAGAATTCATTTTAATGCAAACGTGCCGGCGCGAGCGGCACCTTTTGAAATGAGATGATAAAATAAAACAGAATGAATGAAGTGAATAAATATAAATGAATAAAACATTTAAGAAATAAAATAATAAAATTATAAATAAAATAATCCAAATACATAAAAATGAAAAATAAAAATGGTAAGAAAAAAATGCAAATAAATGAATATAGTAAAAATAATAATAATACCTATAAAAAAAATAGTAAACAAATAGATAAAAATAAAATTAATAAAAAGTCTAGAACGAGGGGCACATGGAGCGTGGTTTGTGCATGATACGTGCTGTGCTCCCTGGTCCTTGTCCGCATCATGGACCCTGCATAATTTTCCTTCCCTCAGGTCTTCACGCTGTTCCTGGAGACATTGAGCGAGCTGATTCAGGTGCACTGTGGCGACCTGCACGGCTGGCTGTACACGCTGCTGACACGCCTCTTCATCAAGACCGGCACGGACCTCCTCAGCTCGCTGCAGACCAAGATACAGAGGATTCTCGCTTTGATCCGGTATGTCTGGGCCTCTAGGTGCGTCCGAACAGTCTCCAAGCTTAGCTTGCGGCCGACTATTACAGGATTCGTACGGCTCTTGTGGTCGGTCTGCAGGTTTGTGCAGTTGCCTGAAAGCCTCAATTACTCTTCAATTTTGAAATGCAAAAAACATTATATTTAAGAGCCCACGAAGACCAACCATTATAAGACTCGAGAAAAGAGTGGAAATGGCAAAACGGAGGTACATCTCGTTTTTAACGAAACAGGGATGCGATCCACGCAGACCTCACGTATGCATTCCGACATAATCGTTGCCTCGTCATTCGCCAGGCCTCTTCCGTAAATCACAATGATTGGCTCTTCTTGAGCGTTACAGAGGAATACATGTGCAGGCATTGTTCATAAAGAGGTTGACCTATTTTTGAATAGTTAACGGGTGCCTTCAGAGTCCTTCGAACATGATTGAATTAAAGGTCGAATGAATACAAGTTTACTGAATTATTTTTACTGGTGTTCTTTGGTCACCTTGCACAATCCTGTAATGGCACTTGAATTTTGAGTCTGAACTTTTGTTCTGAAAATTCTGATCTGATGTTGGTTGTTCTCCCTCTCTACTGCAGGGACTCCTTCTATCCCTCGGAGCAATTCCGGTCAGTTGCAAGATACATCACTGACCCGACCCAAACGCCAAACATCAAGGCACGTCAACATTATCTGCTTGCTAGGGGTCTCCTTTTGGTTACCCAATGCATCTGATGGTGTTCCTGATGTCTATAAGGGGTTGCTGTTAGTCTGTTTTGACTCTAGTTGTTACCCTTTATGCTCTGTACAATGCACATGTTTACTGTTTAACATCAGTAAGTTACTTGGCTGTGTCTTCCAGCGTCTTTTAATCAGATATTGAGGGTAATGAGGATGTCATTTCACAAGCTCTAATGCCTCCCCATAGCAGATCAGGTCCCCACGACATAGTATTTGACTGGGAGAGTAACGTCAAACGAAGCATTCATTCTTTTATTCTTTCCAGGTTAAAATCACTGTGTTGCGCTACCTGATGTCTCTGCTACAAGCCATGGAGCCCAGTGACATGTTGAGTGATACGCCCGAGACTCAGTCCATGGTTGCCAAGATCTTCTCGTGGACCCGCGACCAGAAGAGTGCAGAGCTCCGCAAAGTGAGGCTTTTTTGGGTGCCACTGGAATCGTGCTTTAAATGAAACAGATTTGTATTTAGAGCAAGTATGGACGCACCATATAGATCCTTGAGCATAGTACGTGTTACGAAATATTGAGCCCGCGAAAATTAAGTTGTTTACAGTATTTGACTGTTATTAGTGCAAAATGTTTTGCCGAACAATGTAAACATTGGAGCAAACTTCGTGTTTCATTGCATGAGGACGCGGGTTAATCACATTATTGCAAAGATTGTCTAACCAGGATTAAGGTTGAACATTTACGTCAGAAAGCTGCATGTCTGAAAAAATTTGGCTCCCGTCTGTTTTTGCCGTGAATGCACCGACGACGATGTCGACAAAGACCTTCAAAACCGATGCGCGAGACAGTCAAACACCATGTCTGCTGAATACTGTTTGCTCCTGGAGCACAGCTCTCAATGACTGAACTAAAGGATTCTATCAGAAAACGAACAAACATGTCTCGTCAAAAAAAAAAAAAAAAAACCTAGGCAAACGTTTTTTTCGTGGCTAAAATAGTCGACCATAAAGGGCTGCAATTTATTATGTAAAACTCTATAGAATTTTAACTTTTTTTTTTTTTTGCCCCTATAGCATTCCCAAGATGTCATTGTCTCCATCTTCAAGTTAAGACCAGGTGACCTGAATCTCCTCCTCAGCAGGCTTGAACCGGAGAACCAGGTAATCAAATATGCGAGAACAGGAATTCTAGGCACTCGTGGCTGCAGTTACCCGGAACTTTGAAACAATTTAAGTTTTACAGCGAAGCTGTTTATGGCTAGGGTTCCGTGGATTTTTCGTGTGCAGTGACTAAAAACTCTACGCTCGCACCGCCGCACGTGCACGCCTTCCCCACATAAAAGATTCAAAGTAACTAACCAAAATAAAGGGCTGACGAACCCGCGTGCAAGGTGCCATTTGTTTTAGGCTTTTGCTTTAGCACAGTTACTGCTGCAGATGCTGGCATGTGCGGCACGTGGAACACCATTCCCTGCATTCTTCTTGACGCTTGGGTAATTTAGCAATAGGTCTATTAGTAGATTAGTTATCAACAGGCACCATTTTCAAGATCAGTAGACTCAGGTAGATATAATGGTTTCTCAAAGATTTGCCGCTGTGCGACTCGCGTCGGTCATGTCTAGGCTCGCACCGCCCTCTCTTTGTCATTGTTCCAAGTGCTTGCGTGCCTAGCTTCCTTGCTTTCCGCTCTCCCGGGGTGGCGGTCCCGTCGCACGTGTCTAGATTTCTGCGGCGTTCGGGGCGGGCCTGTGTCGTGTGCTGAACAGCTTCGCTGGTCATCCACCTTCACAGAGTGAAATGGCTCATGGATGAACTACAAGGATGGAAAATTGTAATCAATGTAAAGCTGAAAATAAATGTTTAATGAGGCAAACTTGCGCCTACAAACAAAATAAAATGAGGTGTCGAGCATCCTTCCTTGGCCACAGAAGGGTGACTATCCCTTCCGTCACTGGCGTATTTCGTTAACAACACTCTTTCCCTCGCTTTTCCCTTGTGGGCACTTCTAGCGAGGCAGTTTTCTTACCTAGTACTTTCACAGCTTTGTTTCTGGCTGCCAGCCACCATGAAATATGGGTGGGGTCGCAGCTAGGTGGCTGTATCTAACCTCACATCTTTTAATGTAATGCTTAATATAGTCGACCTTTGAAGCTACGGCAGCACTAAGCGACCAAAGCATTGAGGCATCAAAATAGGTCCAACCACTTTCATGGCACGTAACGGGGCAAACAGAAAACTTTGAAAGTAGGCCATGTAATATTTTTGCTGGAATTTTTAATAATTTCAACAATGGCTATCGAGAAACGTTTGCTACAATTTCACGGTCGCATAACTTCAGATTTTTTTTTTCTTGTCTCTGATATATGGCAGATAACTCTGGGAGATATAGAGAAGGATCGAATTGAAGCACTCGTTGAAGCAGCGAGGAAAGTATGTTTATCTTCGAGTCAAGAGTGAGAAGGATGACATCTGGGCAATGCCATACACTCCTTCCAGAGCCTGGCAGTGAGCCTGATCCAGTCGTGCGTGCGGGGGCGGAACGAGGACAGTGAGCTGCGGATCCCCAGCCCCACCACGGCCCACCTGCAGTCCCCTCTGGGACTGGGTTCCAGGTGGGGCACCTCTCTTCTTCCTTTGTGCTCAGTAATAGTGGGGAGACAGAACTGTGCAGTGGAAAGGAAGGCACCGATATGGTTGAAGGGGGTAACCGAGGTACCGAAGGTCGCAGCTGAATGACATAATGACTCTTCAGGACCAACAAATTGTGGTTCAAGCGGGGCGTGAACCCTCCCCTAAGAGTAGCTAGAGAGTCCATTACTGGTTTTCAAAGCAGGGACCTCTGCACAACACTTTGACATACAGTAGGCTCGCAATAATTCAAACTCGGACATTTCGTACTCCCGGTTAATCCAAACAAATTTTAAAATTTTGTTCATCCCGCCTTATGTGCTCATAAGCCCCTTAATTGGAACATTGTTTTTGTGCAATTCATGCTTTTTTGTTCTTGTGGCCCCGTTAGTGCACTTCTTTCCAAGCACTGGCGCACTGCAGAGAGGCAGGCAGACCCGCGGAGCTTGCTTCCGCGGGTCTTGCTTCTTTGCAGTGTACTGGTGCCCAGTGGGAGGCACACTCAACGGAGCTCAAGCAGGCACAAATGAGATATAAAAGCGTACACCACGCGAAAGTTTCTATAGCAGCTTGAATGGACACGGTGACATGGCATAGGTAGACGTCTCAGCGTCTGCGCAAGTTGCTGTAAAAACTTCTGCACATTGCCCATTTTCATCGCTCATGTGTCCCCTGCTTAATGGTCCACATTCGACAACTCCTTGGCCCAATGAATAAACTTAATTTTGTTTTGAGTTGTCATGTGCTGTCTAAACAGTCCATGATAAACATAATTTTTGGGAAAGAAATAAACTTGTGTCATACATTTCACCAATGTTTCATGTGTGACTTACCTGCTTATGATCAGTAGGCCTATGTAGAAGAAACCATTAAATATCTGCTTTGTATGGGTAGTCAGTTGTATGGAAAATCATAATTTTATCTTTCGTCATATTTCGATGAATTTCTGATAATTCATACAAAATTCGTGGCTTCCTGGAGTTTGAATTAATGAGAGTACTATATTGGGCAATACAGGTGATGGGCGTGGAGAAAGATTGCATGATAAAAATAAGAAAAGATTCAGGTGAATCGGTCAGCTTTCAGCAGCTTGAAAACCCGAGACCGAGGGGAAAAAAAGGGGGGGGAGGACACCTCTGTGTGTGGCATCTTCCTTTTTTTGTACCTCTGTTTCATGTTTCTGAGACGTTCAAAGTATGGATGTTTGCCTGCACGTGGATGAAGGGGCATACCTAGTAGAGGCCGAACATGCACCTTACCGTCTCCCCGCGCTGCTTCCCGAAAAGTGTCCTGCTCCTGCGAGTGGCACTGGACGTTGTCTCGATGCGCAGGAGCCGCAGCCGGTCGAACACTCCACTGCAGCGCTCTCTCGAGGAGGAAGAGGAAGACAACACTGAGAACCTGAACCCCGAGGAACGCTACAACTCGGAGCTGCGGCGCACCACGGCGCAGATCCACGGCCTGAACCTGGATTCTGGGCGGGGGATGAGCTTTGAGGAGAGGCGGGAGGTGGCCCCCGCCGCCCTCTCCATGCTGCCCCCGCTAGGGGGGGGCACCCACCGGCAGAGGCTGGCCCCCCAGAACTGGGAGGAGGAGCGCCTGGCCCCCCTGCAGCGCCTGGTCAGCAGCCGGGAAGCCTCGCCTGTCAAGCGTATGGGCTCCTGGGAATACGTGCGTGGACCTTCCTTTGTCCCGTCTCTCCTGGTTGGGTCTCCGTTGGCTTGGTCCTTTGTTGTTTTTTTGAGGAACCAGCTTTGGTCCTTGAGGATGGGAGAGTTATGTCAGGGCCCTTTTGCTGCCAGGAAAAGTGTAGCTTGTCTGTGTTCTGTTATGCGTGGAAGACCTGCGAACCATTGGGGGCATCTTAGAAAATATGAAGTGACCTCGCGCTCATAGATTTCGGAAGTGTGGGAGCACAGTACACCTTTATGGGCAAACCGGACTTCTCAATGGGATATTAGTAAGTCGCCTCAATCAAGCATGCACATTTCTTCTTTCCCCAAAGGTCTAGAAATGATCTTTGAGGCAGTGCAGTTGGGCCTTTGCAAAGGTTTGCCAGAATACCTTTTGAAACCCTTCAGAAACGTGCTTTCTTATTTGCCATGTTGCTTCATTGCTTCCCACTTCACATCTCTATGTATTTGACACTGTTTGGGGATTACAACCCTAGAGCTCCAGTTTGCGCATGTAGTCGCCGAGCGATTTTTTGGGCTTCGCAGGCACCAAAACAATGTCAGTATAATAGAGCAGTTAGAAAAATTGGCAGATTAAAATCTTGCCTTTGTTACGTCTAAGTGGGCTTTAAAAAGCTTTAAATAGGGCCCTGCTTCAGGTTAGGCCTCCGCTTGCGATTGGCAACTTTCTAGTAGTTTGAGAATCGCTGCCTTCTTTTCTAGCATTATGGTAGAGTACTGTCTGTGCTTCTTAGCGAGACATCGCGGCGGCGGAAGACAAGATGGGGCAACGCCGTCCGAGCCAGCATAGTCCGAAAACACGATTCACCGAGAAGAGATTGAGACAAGAGGGGCAAGTAATTTCATGACTGCAATAATGAATGAACAAATCAAAATGGTAACAACAATGATGGTGTTAATGACGTGCAGCTAGAGAAAAAAAAAACATACAGCGCCACCTAGATGTAGGACTTTGCAATATTCAGGTAGCACTGCCAAAGCAGGCTAATTCATGCGCAGCCAACATAGAATCCATAATGGCTGCTTCTTAGCAATGTTTCCCACCGATCGCTTACTACGATTCTTTCTAAAAAATCTAACTTTCAGACTTTAAGCTGTCCAAAACATTGGTCGTGAATATGCACTATTTCTATCCGGTAGGTCAGAGTTCCTCCTTTCGGTCCGAAATATCCAAGAAGTCCGAAGTAGCAGCGTCCGAAAAATCGGTCAGCGACTGTTCATCGATTCATTTAAAGCACCAGATACCTGGTGCTCATGTCACAATATTGTTAGAATTTGTTGTCTTGAGTGTAAACCTGGCACAGAAATCTCGCAACAGAACTCTCGCCTTAAATTTTGCTACAATTAAATCTTCTGGCTTTCAATTCATTTCAGGATGGAGATATGAATCTTCATCGCATTCGGAGAACGTCGCTTGACGGAGGTGTCAGCAAAACAGGTATTCAAACGTCCAATTTGTGCTGGGAATCATTTTAATGAGAGCAACAACTAAAAACTTTGCAGAAATCATTTTGTTATTTATAAGAAACCAGTGACTTGGCTACCCTGTTCAAACACACACATTTATTTAGCTAATAGAGCACATTCTGGAATAAAACATCTGGCTGGCAACCTTTATGGAACTTTGTAATATGTGGTGCCAGCTGAACGTGAAGGAAGGTTCCATACAAAGAGACAGAAAAGGCGTACACACCACTGCGAACCCATTTATAACGAACAGCAGGAAACGCTACGATCAGTTCAATATAGCAAAAACCATTTACAACGAACTTCCACGATGCGTTCGTTGTAAGGCAAGAGCTTCTTTCTTTCTCATCTCTTCGCTTCCAAATTGCAACAACGCGCTAGAATTTTTTATTTTTTTTTGCATGCGTGCAGATTTTGTTTTTAGCGTATCTCCCCTGCTGAATCACTTCTTGGAAAACCGCTTTGGGATAAAAAAAAAAAAAAAAAAATTCTGTGCATGTGTGCAGTGCGTTTTTTTTTAGCTTTCTCGCTTTTTGAATTGCTTCTTTTTGCTCAATTTTGTTTGCAGCTTGAGCTCCTAAATTTCCTTTCTTTCCTACTTTATTTTTTTATTTTATTTTTTTTTTTTGTGGGGGGGAGGGGGGGAGAGGGAGAAACAGGCTGGAAGACAATTGTTTGCGCGTTTTTGGAGCCTTCTTGGGGGAAAGAGTTCGATATAGGTTGTTCGTAATAAAAAGTACTTTTTACATGCTCTTCTATTTAAATTTTCCGCGAGTTCGATATTGACAATAATTCGCTTTATGGGGGCTCGTTCTAGACGGGTTTCACCGTAGCAGCTACATTACATTTCAATTCATTGAGGGACATCTTCCTCCTCTTCTACACTTATAATCAAAGACCGCACTATAGACCCTTTCCGAAATTGAGTACCATCTGGTGACTGACATGTCGGTGTACTTTTTGCTGTAGTAAGAGCGGCAATGAACCTGTAGCCCGCAGTATTTTAGCTGAAGAAAGCCTCCTTCTTCGCTGTTCCCAACGAGGGCAAAAGCGTCGGCAAGTTTATTCTTGTCACGTGGACCACCAGTCCAAAATCAACATAGTTTAACTTTCAAAAGTATTTTAAGGAGCGCCTGTCCCACGCTATGCTATTTGCAGAGCAAGAAAGCACCCGAATGACGACGGACCTGAGCGCATGACGCATCTCGGTGTCGACAGCAGCGCCAGAGCTGCATCGTGACCCGCTGCTCCTTCTCTTGCGCGCCGATTCTGACAGCTCCCCTTCTAGCTATCGCATATTTGCACATCAAACTTCTTTTTTTCTCGTCAACTATTTGTGTATCTCTTCACTAGATGGCGCTGTAGTTTCAAAGTTCAAAACTGTTGCCAAACTACTATATAAAACAAAATGTGATGAAACCACAATTTTTGAACAAAACAAAAAAAAATCTGTGGTTTGTTGCCTGTAGGCAACACTCGTCAACAGAGGGTTAATTAAACAGTTACTAGCCCAGTGGTGTGTATGCCTTTTCTGTCTCTCCCTGTATGTAACCTTCCATCATGTCCAGCTGGCACCATATATAGTAATAAACCAACTAGCTGAGCTTCAAGCCGTTACAAGGATTTGGTAGATGCAGCTACATTCCTTGACCAATGGTTCATTGGAGAAACCTGCTTTCCTGCATATATACTTCAATTGTTAATCTCAAATTTCTTCCTGTCGTACAGAACAAGACACACTCGGCAACATTTTCGCCATCCTTCAGAATCCTAACAGCCGGTGGGTACCTAGTGATAGGCCTTTCAAGAGGGGCGCAGAGGGGCCACACGCGGACTTGCATGCGTTCTCTTGTGTAGGACGGAACACCGCAAGCAGGCCATCTCCGAGCTGATGCCACTCACCAAGGACGGTTCTCCGGAGCTGTGGGATGAAAACTTCCGCAATGTGCTCAGGTGCCTTGTGGAAAACTTGGAGGACCATGTGGTGAGTGAACCCTGAGTAGGAAAAGTGCTCCTCATTTTGCTCTCCTATCTTCCAGGGAATTTCTTCCTCTTTTGACCTGTGGATGTAGCAAACCAAAGCAATATGAATTTGAGCTCTAAAATAAATTGGTTTCAACTGAATTGGGTTGAATACAGGTGTAGAGAAAAACTTGGACCGAGAGCGCTATATGTGCTGCTGTACGTTGGAGAAATGAAAGCGTAATCTTACAAAAGAAATGCACACGGTGTCTTCTTTTTGTTTTGTTATACTTGTCTAGGGCCTTTCCTCTTTCATTGAGAATGCCTTTCTGCTAACAGCCTGCTATTAGACCATTGTCCTGAAATGTTGCTTCTGCAGGTCTGTTGCAACTGCTAAAGCTCTTGTAATGTTACAAACAACCAACTCTGCAATCTCCTTTTTTTTTTTTAATGCAATAGCATTAGTGTTTGCATGACAGGGAAGAGCTGATGGTATCCATCTGTGGACAAAATAGTGGAAAGGGAAGCGCACTGCGTAGAGAAGAGGAGAGTAGCGAAGGACAAAGGCGTCGTTTCGCGTATGCCTCGGAGCAGAAGCCAATGTGCACACGGTTGCAGGGGCGAGTCTGAACTTGCAGGTGTGCGAGTGAGAGTGAGTCGCACTCACTCTCTTTTCCATGGTCATAGGCCGTTTTCTAAAGTTTAGACACAACGACATCAAAGTCGTTAATCATTGAAGGCACACACTCAATATTAAAAATAAAAAAAATATGAAACCCGATTTTTGTGGCTTCTACAAAGCTGCAAATAGATTGATTGAAAAAAAAAAAAAAAAAAAGTCCCACAGGGAATCGGAAGTATTCTGTGCGCTCACTGCGTAATTCTCAACATGGCGTCGTTTCGCGTATTGTTGAGCTCACAAGGACAGCGATGGCATCGGACAACAGGCGGGAAGGGAAACCTCTACTTCAGAACTGTCGTTCGCGGTACCGGCGAATTCTGTTTTCTTTTGAAAGAGAAATTTTGGACCGATCAAAAAATTGGTATTCATCCCGTACGACACGCCCGGCCACCAAGCTGATTCGCACGAAGACGTTGCCGAGCCGTCGCCCCCTTCTCATGGCTGAAGACAACGCTCGCGCAAACGTCAAGCACGAAGTGCGTACTTCGAGTTGAATATGCGCGCGTACGATTTCTTTACTAGGTGCGAATGTGGCCTCTGCATGGTGCTGCCCGACTTCTACCCTGAAGTCCTTTTGCTGGAGGAAAATTGGCAGCAAACTTTCCAACCTACTGTTGTTTAGCTGCATTCTTACTCACTAAAGTGTTATCTCAGTAGCTCAGTGGAAAGACGTCCGCTTTACACGCGGCAAAACCAAATTCAATCTCATGTTGTTTTTTTTGTTTTTTATTAGATTAATTAGGTAGTCTTCTGACACCATAATAAATCACCTAACAAAAAATGATTAAAAAAAATCTGGGGGGTGTCAATGTCCCTTCAAGTGTAGGTGAAAAATCGCAGATTTGCTTTGTGCGAAATGTTTGCTGTACTTGCTATCTTCTAAAACAGAACTTGTCCACAGGCACCTGTGAAGGTGGCAGCTCTGCGGGCCCTGGCAGAGCTTCTAAAGAGGCAGCCACAGCACTTCCACAGTTATGCTGAGCTCACACTCATCAAGATTTTTGGCGCTTTCAAGCACCCCGAAAGAGAAGTATGTTTCTACTTCTTGATTTTAGAAACTGCAATTGATTGACTACATGCTTGAGCACCTGCAATTTTAATAAAAAAAATAACTTTTTTTTTTTTTTTTTTTTTTTTTTACAGAAGGTATGATTAACATGAACGTATAGCAAAAGCAAATTAATTCACACCCAAACTGTTCAAACTTTTTTTTTTTTTTTTTTTTTTTCATTTGAACCAGTTGGCACAGTTCGGCCAAATTTTGTAGAAGTTTATAAGCTAGAAACCCCGATAATTCACCGAGACTAGCACTGCCAGCAATAATCGGTGTCTAGTTATTGAGGCTCCCTGCTAGAGTGGTCATATCTTCAATCATTGCTGACTTTAGCCAGCATCTTTGTGTCCAAAATGTCCTAATTTTCGGTATGACAAACAAGGCACTCGGAGTGGTACTGTGGCTGGTAGGGGTTAAGCGCCACAGCTTCGTACCAACTCGCTCATGCCGGATGTGGTAGGAGTGACGCCCGTGCCGTTTTCTCGTGATTATCGAAGAACTCGCCATTCTTTAGACACTTAGAGCATGGGTTCTCAAACTAGGCTCCTTCAAACTCGGGGGTTCCACCAAGAACCTACGGGAGTTCCTCGAGCTCCCATATTTCTTTAGTCGTCCCTGCCCCTTTGTAGAGCATTCTCCTAGTTCAAGCACTAGTTTAGAAGATAGGAGCCATCCGTTGATGCAGAACAATCTGGCAAACGTTTCTCGGTATGCGCATTTATCTTAAAAAAGTTCAAAGGCTTCTGCAGTGTTCTACCGCATGAATGTCGTCGTAAAAAAGAAGGGAGCATCGAGAAGGGAGGGTACAGGTTCCGTACGCACGGACAGTCCACCGAGAAGGGAGCTTTCTGCGGCTAGTCCGAAAGCTGATCCCAAGTGTTGCGGGCGTACGGAGCTACAGCACGGGCACTCCGACCGGCGTGCAGGTGTGCCGGGCAGCAGAGGCGTGCTCCATGGAGGCGGCTGCGGCTCTGCCTCCCGAGCAGAGCGTGCGCCTGCTGCACTCCCTCATCGGGGAGTCCGACGAGGACGACGTGGTCATTGCGGCCATCAAGGTCATGTCCAGGGTAGGCCACCTTTCTTTCTTTGCCCGTTCGTTGGCCCTCGACCTTTGGCTACTACCACCCTTTGCTTCGGAGTACCGGCCCGAATCCTCCACGGAGGAGATGGGTTGCACAAAGACACGAGGGTCCAGCTTACGGCCACCGGTAGACAGTTCCTTTGGGAACAGATGGAACGTGGAACCAAAGCTGCGGAGTTACTCTTAAAGGTTCGCTCGAAAACCATGACTGGTGGCTGTTTGGGAACAAGCAGTGTCATTTTTAAATATCAAATTGGTAGACTAGAGTTAGAAATCGGGCACCAGGCTCCCTGGCTTGCAGAGGCTGCAGAATCTGTTTGTTTTAACCGGGCTTCGAGGGATCTCGGTGCCTTTTGCAGCATAGCATCGTTGTGACATGTCGGCGTCTTCTATTTCTGATGCAGCTGGTGGAAGTTCATCCCAAAAGGATCATCGTGGAGCTGCTTCCCCAAATGATGCCTGTGCTTTTGAAAGTGAGCCCCGTTCTATTCTAACATGTTCTTTTTTGCTACAGAACCTTCTTGGCTCGTGTAGTATTGTAAATTTCAGGATGGTGCACTTCTAATGGTGGTAGAGGTTTCCATGCCTTTTCGGTTTTGAGAAAGCTTAAAGGGTAACTGCAAAGAAAAAAAAGTATTTTTTTAAACAGCCTAATTGGGACAAGCGTGTCGCAAAACAAATGTTCCGCGAAAAAAAAAAATTTTTTTATCAGTATTTACGCTACAGGACATAATTTAGTCGGAGTCAGAACCTCTCCACATTTGAAACTCCCGCTCTTTTGAAGAGGAGTACGCCCCGCCCCTCACTCTCCTTGCATTGCGGAGTTGAACGACGCAGCGTCTCGACTTTTGGTAAGATCTGGCAACAATGCACAGTGGCGGTATTGTTTTGGTTTGACGCGGTTTGCGAGCACATGTAGCGAAGACGTGACTGGAGGAGTGCCCTTGTGATGTTCCCGGAAGATGGAAAGTATCACTCGTAATCGTTGTGCGTGCTTTGAAAGCGAAGGGAGTCACAGAATCCACGAGCACGCAACCACAAGCCAAGGTTCACGACAGCGCTGCGTTGGTTTCGGCGATCTCGTTCTGTTTGGTGCAACACGGCGATGCGACAAAGAGCTGAAACGTTCGTGGTGTGTGTAATGCGGTGCTAACACGGAGCGCAAATTGGTTGTTGTGGGGTTGACGTTCAACCAGTTCAGTCCCGTCGTCGTCAGCTGATTTAGTCAAACTGGTCCGGCAGGACGAAGCGAGCGTTTTTAAAAGTAAATCTGCCTCGTTCTGTTTCAAAATGTGGAAGTTTCCCAACGCATACCGTGAGTAAAAAGCTGCGGGCGTTTTCAACCAAATTACGTTGTTTTAATTGAACAATGGACTCCGAATTGTTGCTTTAAATTTACCGTTTTTATGCTTAGTGTTGGACTGTGTTTGCACAGCGACGTGTTGCATAGTGCGGTGTGAATAAATTTGGGCACGATTTCGTACCTGCCTACAGATGCATGATCTGAGACCACTTTTTACGTAGTGGACATAGTGCTTTTTTATTTTGTGTCTAGTCGCGGACGTTAGGTGCATACGGGGCGAATCTCTACGGCCTCCAGAGCGATATGACGAGAACGTAACTGGACATGTTTGTCGCTACGCGAACGCCCGATTGCCTCCAGTTAATAGCATTCCTTTCAGGGCGAAATGGGTGCGGGAAGGCTCACTGTCGGGATCACTCATCCGACATCTCCGAAAAGTCGGTATTTGCACGTGCAAGCAAACAAACAAAGCACGCTAAGCCAGCAAAGAGGGACACGAAAGAACCGCGCTATGAAAGTCAAAACTCCGCGTCGCTTCCTATCACTAACACCTGCGACAGCTGCTAAACACAGACTACTTCACTTCAAGAAGTCTCACTCAAGCAACTGGGTCAGCACGAAACACTGATCATTTCGGCGAAACGATTAGTCGAGGTAGGCGAGACAGGCGGAAGCAGAGATTTCGGCGGCCATGAAAGAATGGCGAAGCTTTTGTTTGTTATGGCATGAATCCAAACGGAAGTGCCTGTCTTGTAAACATTTTGTAAAGATTAATAACTCTCATCACATGGGTTATTCTTTAAACATAAAAATATGCCTTTCAAAAGAAATTTGCAACATATAACAAAGGTTTAGCAACCAAGATCTAAGCTGTCAATCAAACTCTTAGCCAATGAGCAGTATAGTAGCCGATTGGTATTCAACGTCGCGGAATACCGACTTCGTGGCGCGCGATTCAAAACTGACGAAATAGCCGCAAGCTAAAATCGGTCTCACGTAATAAATATTGCTGTAAAAAAATTTTTTTTCTCGTGGAAAAATTGTTTTTTGACATGCTTGACCCAGTTAGGCTGCTTAAAAAAACTTTTTTTTCTTTGTAGTTACCCTTTAAGGCTGTTGAAGGACAATCGAGGAACTCTAACTCCCAACAGCCTTCTATCATTCTTAAAAGAAAGTCCTACAGGTCTGCAACCTGAACTGATTTGAAATGCAGCGCTCTTGCTGTTAGTAAGGAATGCAAGATTAATTATATTTAAAAAGTGCAACGAGACACGGACAAGGAAGACATGCAAAGGCACAGCGCCATCTTCCTTGTCTGTGTCTCGTTGCGGTTTTTAAATATTATGAATCGCCAACTAGTCCAACTCTCCACCCTTGTCAAGGCAGAATTGCTTGGCTTCTGCGATCAAGTTAGATCTACACCGCACCTACAACTGGCAAGGGCCAACCGGATACTCAAAAATTAGTCCGAGAGCCCTAATAAGAGACTCTTTGTGTCTTGTGCACTCGATGACAGAACTCGGCCCCTTGCAAGGAGACCGAGGTTGGGGCAGTCACTGCCTCGAGTTCAAGCCCGTTCTGTCTTCTGCCCAGGCGTACGACCACAGCGAGAGCTCTGTGCGAAAGGCGGCCGTATTCTGCATGGTGACCCTGCATGGGGTGGTAGGGTCCGAGTCGATGAAGCCACACTTGGCATCCCTTACGGGGTGCAAGGTGAGTGCACATGCGCTGTCCCAACAGCTTATGATGATTTAAAAGTGCATTTCTCATTTACTATTACAATATGTGGCGTCGTCAATGCGACGAGTTTATCATATGTCTTTCACATCTCTTACGCAGTTGAAGCTCCTGAACTTGTACATCCAAAGATCGCAGGGCAGCGGCAGTACTCCGGGCTCACCATCAAATACTGCCTCCTCCTCCAGCAATCCGTAACCCCGCACTCCGTCTGTGTGCAAGATAGTGGAACATTGCCGTCGTCGTCCTTTCCGAAATTTTTGTTTTAACAGCGGCAGAAGCGTGTTTGTTTTTTGTTTTTTTTTTTGTCCAAATTGCCGCGGGTACCCCCTTTTTCTGCAGGGACCTGAAACGCGCGGTGCTGGAACCAGCGTGCCACCGGGCGTGGCGCTGTTTCGAACGCCACTTTGTTGTTCTTCCCATATTCCTCCAGGCGAGCCACATGTGGCGCAGTTTCGTTGCCCTCCTCTCTTTATTTGGTTTCTCGCAAGATGCGAGAAGGTGGACAGTACTTCGCATGATGCATAATTACCTACAGCTGTTGCGTCGTAGCAAGTGCCAGTAATCTAGATGCCCCGCCTGTGGCAAGCTTCCCAGGGCCAAGCGTCCGCACGACGAGTGCAGGAAGCGACAGCTTCTGCCGTTTGCAGTCGGCGTGCTCTTACTAATGGCTAGAGCGACAACAAGTGTCCGAGTCTTTCTCCTCTTTTCTTCCTAGCCTTTCTCTAAACTTCTCTTGAGTTGAGGAATGAAAGCATTGCTTTGACTGTGTGACTGTGGAGAGTTTTGTACGGCGTGACTTAGTTGTGGCATGAAATCCGAGGCCTATATTTTACGACACTAGGGTGCTGCCTTCTTTACATTTCTTTTCTTTGTGTATGTACAGTCAAATTCTGACAGGGAGAGCCTAATTGGAGAGGCGTTAAAACATGTTAGCAATTAACCCGGTACTTTAGCGGTGTATTTTAGGGTTTAGCACATTGACTCGCAGTTCAGTAGGAGGAATAACATTTGGCATGAATTGTCTTGTATCGCTGCTGGCAGTAAAACAAATTGTGCACCGAGGCATGCAGCCCTTTCGGGATTATTTATATTGTAGTGAAAATGTTTCGCCATTTTTCCTTCGTTGGAATTCATTTTGCGACGTTCCTTTTGCGAAGATATTACTTGTATAGTGTACATTCCCATGCACGCAAACTTAATGCTTCAGTTTCATTACTCCGCACTACTGGGTCAGCAAAATGTGTTCTCCCTTCTCGAGACCTTCATGCTTCGTTTTCTTTTAATTCTGGAATGGCATGCGAGACGGAAGAATAAACATTTTTACCATCTTGGCATTCTCTTTTCTCTTTGGGATCTGTTCTGGCCGTACAGGCTGTTGCGGTCCCAAGGTTCGACACTCCACCTTGTTCAGGATAAAGGCACCAAGAATTTGAGAACAAATGTTATTGTAGCATTGTACACATTCACACGTCTTATCCGTCTGCTTTTGCGACTCCACTTATTAACCGGGGAACATGACCGAGCATATTTTTCTGAGGGCAGCCAATGAAACTAGTTACTAGAAGGTGACAATGTCGGGGCGTCTTTCTCGAGCGTCCGGCCTTCAGCATATGCTCATTGCCTTTCGTAAAGCTTTGGTTGTGCGTGCGCGCACAAGACTGGAAATAAAGAAGCGCTGCCAAAGGTAAGAAGCTTCGCACTGGAAGCAGGAGAACGAGTGCGACCGAAAGCGTCGCCGTGGTCGGCCTTCCGCGATTGGCCAAACACCCAGTACGACGTCTCGAGTATGATGGATTCTATCGTGGTCAATCAAGAAACCCGGATTTTCGGCCTGTTTAAAAGAGCTACACATTGGAGGAAGCTGAAACTTCGATAGAATGTGACGCTAGCTGTGGTGATAAAATTTGGAGTTTTATCGTCACATTTTCTCTACGAGATGTCCACCTAAGCCTAATCTTCATGAAACTAAAGATTGAGATTGTGGGCGTCTGTAGCATTTATTTTGGTCGGGACACTCGATCTGCAAGATAAAAAGAAAACAAAAAACCTGATTTAGCCACCTACGGAGACAAACTATGAGCCCACCTACCTTGCTGAAAAAAGCTAAAATCTTTCTTTTTTTTTTCATTTTGATACGTAAACTATGTGCCTATACCGGTAATAGAAGAAAGCTTTAATGTTGAATTGCACTAGAAATCCACAATCTGATTAGAGAAAGAGAACAATCTGGTGGATTTTAATACCGAATTAATGAGAATCCATATCGACGATCGAGAATGTTTCTCTTGAGCAATGGGCAAGTATCAATAAGGGGGAAATGTCAACGGCCCACTAGGATAAAACTGTTCCTAGTCACCTTATGTGGGGCTACAGTGATTAGGTATTTTGCTTGACATGCGATTCTAGAAGGGCCAAGCAGGGAGCAAGGCATCTGCTTGTGCAGGGGGTTGCGGTTTCGTCAGAACGACTTCGAGTACTGATTGGCTTTGGGATAGAGGGTGGACCTTGAAGGGCCATCCCCTATTTTGTTTTTCTCAATTGGTTAATAAGAGCACAGCATTCTGATATCTTTACAACCCCTGTGCAACAAGCTGATGAACTTATGCTCCGCATTGTCTTGGCTGTTTTATGTTGTACCCACTCGGCCTATTCCAGGGATATATTCAACCTAACTATCCTAATATAATTGAAAAGGAGCGTGCTGATGAATAGATACGAATATGTGAAAAAATAAAACGTCGAGGACGGGAAAGTACTTTTTTTATATTGGGATATAAATATGTGAAAGAAGTCCTGTTTCCGTACCCATCCTCGATGTTTTATTCTTTCATGCTCTTGCCCCGGGCGTCGTCTGCCTTGCCGAGTGGGCTGTACCTAACATCCGGCTGGCGTTCAAATTCGGTTTAAAATCTTTATCAAGCAATGCTATGCTTGATAAAGACTAACCGGGTCCAGTTGCGCTGTTACCTACGTGCAAATGTAAAAAGAAAAGAAAACTGTGTCAGACTGGCCGGTGTCTCTTGCGAAAAGTGAATCCGGTTGTAGCTATTTTACTATATGAAGTTCGTACTGGTGAAGGGCTTTAGCGACAATGAGTGGAAGTCTGGAATAATAAATAAAAACCTGCTTTCCTGGCTCAATAGACGCAGTGGTTGAGGGTAGTACTGCCGGCTGACTACTCTGACATTGAAGTAACGGAAGATACGCTAGTTGATCATTTACTGAAATAAAACAACGGAGTGCTATAGGCTGCTTTTGGAGTAGCCATAAATATTCCAAGAACACTAATCACTTCACAATGGAAGTTCGGTACAGCCCGCCGGTACAGCCCAAAGGCGGAGAACGGCAGCCTCCCAGTTTGTCGTCTGCTAAATGGGATGGCCTTTTATAGTATATCCCAGAAAAATAAAACATTGCACTTCCAATTTGAACTGGAAGGTTTGTTTTTAAGTGTCGATAACAATATTTCACCCCATTTAAAACTGTCCCTCTACAAAATCAATTAGTTGCCAAGTTTTTACAAACCCATGTTTTTCTCCAACGGTTTAAGTCGGATTCCTCGGTAATTTCGTATCAGATTACACTGATCTTCTACACTAGTGTTGTGCGAATATTCAAATTTTCGAATAGTAGTTTCGAATATTTCGATTCGAGAGCAGTTGTAATATTTATGCTTTTCGAAGTGTTGGCAACCTCGAGTCGCGTGTTGGTTTACTGTCTAAAAATACGTAAAAAACAATTTCTAAAATCAAAAATATACTCACACGTTCGGCAAAACGGTACAAATATTATGGTGGGAACTCTCAAATATTTTCATCGTAGTCATTTCATCAACTTTGTTTAAAAACGGGCAAAAGAAACCGATCGCTCCAGCAATGCCTGCGCGGCCTGCGCCATCTTTGCCAATCTTGGCGCCCTGTATTCCAATAAATAAGTCGTACATGAATAAGAGTAATTCTCACAAATCAGCCCACTTAATAATTGCACGTCTGCAATAATTATCTTGCATGCCAATCTGCAGTCAAGATTTTTTAACAGGTAGTATTCTATTCGAAAATATTCGGCCAAAATCACTATTCGATTCGAAATCAAAATCCACTATTCGCCACAACCCTATCCTACACCAAATCTCCAGGACGTGCACTCGACATGCAGATTTTTGGTACAAATTGCAATAATTTTGAACTCCGTGATTGCTTGAGATATCCCTAAAGTAGGCCTCATTGCATTCAACTAAACCTTTCCTGGGAGTTCAGCTTCTCTGCATTGTTTCTAAGGGCGACTGAGGAAGGTTCTCCAAAGTTGGCTTCACCACAGTTATGTGGTTATGTCTGCTTTTTTCCCCCAGATTGCAGCATCTCTGCAGTGCTCCTATACAAGCGCGAGCTTGTTGATCAGGGGCAAATCTCAAGGGCACAAGCTCTCGTGAATTAAGAGCAGCTGCTCTTCTAGCCTTCTCTGCGGTACAACACAAGGTGAAACGGAGTATAGGAGCATCAATCAACAAGTGCTAAGTTGTGGACTTTGGTGCTACTGGGTGTTACACTTCACATTAGGCAGTGTTTGAATAGCACACGCTCTTTACGTACGCAAATGGCGGCGTCACCACTGCACGACTGCATGTGCGCCAAAGCTCAAAGCCAACCATGTTTCGCGCTCTTCGAGTTGGACTATTTGAGGCGGTGTTAAGGCCTATTCCCACATGCAGCGGAGCGCTACAAGCATAGCGCTTACCTCGCGCTAAGCGCGTGCTTACGGTAGCGTTCACCAGCTTTGTATCGCACCGTCAAAACTGTTGCTCATGGCAGACGATAAGTAGCTGACGGCACGTGAGGAGCGCTACATCAGCGCTTCGCCTGCGCTTCGCTGCATGTGAGAACCGGCCTTTAGGGTGTTAGTGCTCCAAGAAAGATTAGTGATACGAAGTTGGTTGAAGCCAAGACAGGCCAAGACTAGCCCAGTTAAAAAAAATGGCGGGAGCGAACGATGAGGATTTGTCTGCTACGATCGCTACGATGCGTCGTTCGTACAGCAGAACCGAAAGGAAAAAAATTAGATTTTCTGATAGAAATCGTGTCCCAGGGGCAATGGAATCAAACGCGAGCTTGAATTGTGAGCGTCGCCTATTTTATGAAGGACCGATTGACAATTTGCATTCTTTTCGTCGCTCTGTTGGGGCAGCGCATAAACGTCTCACAAGCAAGCACTGACTCAAGCACAGACAGAAAAACATACTCGCAGCACTTTGGTCGAACCGGATTTTTGGGTCGAACTTTTGGGGTCGACTGGGTCGAACCGGTCGACGAACCTTCGATTTTAACCAGAATCGAGCGGTTCGACCAGGTTCGACTTCGTGTTTGTGCCATAGAGAGTTTGTGCCAGCCTGCCATTAATTAATTTTATAGCCATCACCATCCAATCCGAAGCCAACTGGCTAGCCTGTCGCACATGCGCATACCATGTGCGCATAGCAGTCGAACTTTGGAGTTCGTCCCCTTCCCCCCGTGCGATAAAAACAAACTTATCTGTGGTACGTGCTTTCACAAGAACGGCCGAGACACTTGATCGGCTCGACCGACACCTTTTGACGCGGTACTCTGGGACGTCGAGTGCAACAAAGAGAGTCTAGCTGTACACTTTTTTGTCCCTGAACCTCTGAACGGTTGCGATGTTTGGTAAGTTCTGGACGGTAGGGCGCTCAGCTAAACGCGCTTGAAAGGTTTGATTTCTTGCGAATTGCTTTTATGCTTTCTATTTTCTGAAGCTGCCCTGAGAAACTCGGCAAAAGGGAGCCCCACTGCAAGGGCCGCTTTCGGGGGCTTTCGTCACGATTCCAACAGGTTTGTAATTCATGGGGAATGCAGAGACTGCGTAATTTTGCTCATGCAAACTCTCGCAGTGCAGTGCCCAAGACGGCCGTCTTGATGCTGAACATGGGAGACTCGAGCCACAAGGAAGACGTCGAACTATTTTTGAAAAGGGTCTTCACGGACAGCGACATCATGTCTATGCCATTTCAAAGGTGTAGACATTCTTTGTTCACTCTCCAACGTGCTTTATCTGAATAGCTTCTGCTTTTTCTCAAAAGCATCCTAGGTCCCCTTATCGCAAGACGCAGGGCACCTAAGCTCGCTGAAAAATACAAGGAGCTCGAGGGCAGTTCAACTCTGCTCCAATGGACTGAGCTGCAAGGAAGGCAGATAACGAATACTCTTGATAGCATTTCACCTAAGACAGGTACCACATCAATTCTTCGTTTGAATATGCTGTCCTTGAGTGCATGTCAGGTGTGTTCCCTCTGCACCCGTGCTACAAGAAGCATTTCTGACTTTCTAGGACCACACAAGTACTACATTGGCTTCCGTTATACAAACCCCCTCACAGAAGACAGCTTGGAGCAAATTGAAAAGTTAAGTTGAAACATGTTCTTCTGACTCTGTATATCTCAATGATTTGCGCAAGAGATTGGTGCATGCACGATACTGTGCGAGGTCAGGCAGAAAGTTTACAACCCTTATGCATGCTCATGACTAGAATTACCAACTCTTCAATTAAGGAAGTCGGGACGGGGGCTGCAGCGCGAGGGAGGAGAAAGGAGATACAAAGGAGTTAATACAAATGATGATGATGATAACAGGCACCTGCCACGATTTTCAGCTTGCCATTGCTCTTGCATGCAAAAGGGGCCAAAGCCTCCCACCCAATGCTAGACACTGCAGCATTGCTCGTGCAATTCGTGCGAACTTCGTGCTTCGCAGCATGGCGCACATTGTTTGGCGTATGTTGGATCACATAAAAGATTTCTAACTTGACCGTCTGGACGACAGTTGCGTGTAGCTGTCCCAAGAGGGACGATGCGGGACTCTGGATGCTTTATGAAAAGTCGGGACAGTCCCTCAAAATCCGGGACAGTCCCTCAAAATCATGTGTGCTACCTCTGTTACTCTCAGAATGCTGGGAACACCTTCCAACGGCCACAGCCCATATGTCTGAGCAAAACTTGTCTCAGGAAGGGGGGGCATTCTATACTAGCTAAACCTAAAGTAGAGCTGGTGGCTGCAATTCCTCATCCTTCGAAAACTCGTCATTTTGGGGGCAGCCTTTCTTTTTTTATGTAGCGAGTCGGTATTTAGGGCTCTAGAACAACCTGTTACGAGGCAACTGATGGAGCAAGAAAGAACCTGTGTGGGCCATATTGCACACGGAGGGTTTCTGATGGTAACTGTAAATACAACCAATTCGTCTCTGCTTTTTTTTTTTTTTTGCAGTTGATAACGCTTTTCCAGGACAGCGTTGTTGATCATAGTGAATGTTGGAGGGCACAAGTGTAAATAAACAATTAGTAGCTTCATTTACTCAAACTAGACAACCAACGATAAACATGGCATTTTGCGCTCTTCGTTGCGCTTTCGCACTGCCACAGCTACCGAAATTCGCCATGTAATAAATTAGAGCATAACTTTTTTTTTTTTTTTAAATGTAACAATTAATTTGGCCTATATGGACAAGGGACTGAAAATGTCCATTTGATATATGCCAGATAAAAAGAATTGTTAAAAAGTTAGCAATTTTGAGTTAATTAAGCCAATAATTGTTTCTTTCTAGTCATGTTACGACGCCTGCTAAAACCGATAACATTATTTTGTATTTCCAGTGCCCTTTTCTCTGAAATATTTTCTGTCGTAGAAAAAACACCCTGCATACTAGCTATTTTCATTTTTAAAAGTGGCTTTAGTAGAAATACAGTCAGCTTTTGTTCATTCTCATTTTTTGCTACAGCATACTGTCATCTCGTGCTGTTTCGTTTACTGGAGTGCTGGATAAATAGATAAGTGTCAGGGAAAAAGAGGCTTTTAGATTCATTGGGAAGTTTTAAGAGTACACCACAATGCAGCATTGTGAAAAGCTTCATCGAGGTTCATGGTGCCATCAAACTTCATCAGTAAAAAAGTTTGAATCAAATATTGCCACATTATTCGTAGCATCACGAGTGCACCGGTCAGTGTCATTGATGCCAAGCATATCAATCAGATTCTCTTTTTACTATAAATGCTAGGAATGATTATAAGTATTATCCAGCTTGAGTTTGATTTGATGACAGTGGCATGCAGAGTCACGTGGCTGTACCTGCAATTTTTGTTAGCTCTTGGCAACCTTTGTGAAGTTGCTGGGGATAACTGCAAACAGATTGACTGTTGGACAGTATCTAATTCAGTGTGTTGGGAACAAAGCTTGCAAATTTTTATGTCTTAGGACCTGTTGTCAATTCACTCACAGGTTCATTAAGTCAACACTTCACTGATGAGTTGTGTGTATGTGATACAATGAAACCTGGAAATGAGCCATTTAATGGGTTATCCCACATAATACCTAAATAATTCAGTTGTTCCAGCCAAATGGCTGTCAAAGCTGCTTCAGCAATGTACAAGCATTTGCTAGTGATGCAGATACTGAAATAGAGTGGGAAAGACAAAAATCTATCGGGGGAAAAAAATGAGACGTTTACAATTCTTTGTAATGCCGAATTGGAGCGCGGCTCTTGAGGAGGAGGAGTAGAGTTTATGGAGGAAAGGGTCAAGTGTGACGTCGGATGTGTTGCACAAGGACCAAACTTTCCCCGCAAAATTTAGCAAAAGATTTTTCCCGCTAAATTTAGTGGAAAAATTTCCTGCCAAATTTAGCAGGAAAATTTTGCCCTCGTGACGTCATGTGCGACGTCATGATGGGAAATATCTCATAATTCAATGCGCGGTTACGCCGCCAATGACACTGTTCAAGCCGGAAATGTGGGCTGAAGAGCTGCGCTCTAAAAAAGAAACTTACCGTAGAATACTGTGCTTCCGCCCATTCCACACTAAGCGCCCATTGCCAAATTTGTGAGATGTCAAAAAATATGCACGGTACATTTATATGTAAAATAGATGGCCAGACAAGCACTTATCCCCAATTTGTTTTTGTTGCGATTACTGGGAACGATTTAATTTTTGCAAGGACGTCATTTTGGCAAAAAGTAGGTCCCGCAAACAATTCCAGTAAAATGAAAAAACACATTAGAATCTATGTTGAGGTCCCGCCGTGTCGCCAAAATTAGAACGCGCAAATCATTCCAAAACTTCAGCTTTCACCTGAATTGCGAAATATTGAGCTCGCGAAAAATAAGCCATTTACAGTATCCCTAAATTTCGAGTAGGTGCTTACCTGGTATTTTACGGTATGTATATAATGTCCGTCAGTTGATAATGTGCTGGATTCTTTTTTACACTACCACTCTTCTTTTTTTTTTTTTTTTCTTCTATACATCTTTTTTTGGTGGTACTCCTTGCCTAAATGCCGTGGGTCAGAAAGGTTCCCTCCTTTCTTATGCAGAGAAAAAAAAAACGTTTGCCTATATGTCGACTTCTAACAAAACTAGGGAACCCTTTTATGATGCTTTCAGCGAAGCTTGAGCTGTGCTTTGTTGAGTGGCTGACTTGTGTGGCTTGCCTCAACTCTGGAACTCTACAACTCTGTCATACTAGGTGCAGTGGCAATGAGGTGCATTTCACTAGTAATATCCTTCTTTCAGGGATGGGGTTGAGAGAGTGGTGGCATTCTCCCAGTATCCTCAGTACAGTTGCTGCACGAGCGGAAGCAGCCTCAACGCCATCTTTCGCTTCTACAACCAGAAAAAAAGGAAGAGCGCCGCACAGTGGAGTTTCATCGACCGCTGGCCCATTCACGATGCCATCACCAAGGTGACAGCAGCAGCGCTGCTTTTCTTGGCTATTGGCACCCACAGTGTCCTATAACTTTGAAATTGTCAAAGACTTCCCGTGAAAGCAGGGGAATGGTTTTTCCAAGGAGCGAGAGTCTGAAAGCCATAAATGTCGTGCTGAGCTATTTGCATGTTGAAAAACAGCGCGACTGGGATGAGAACAAAAAGACGAAAAGCTGATTACTTTTTTTTAACGCGATAGCATTTAGGAGCTTGTGTGGCAGAAAATCCGGCGTCGGTGGGACCAGAAAGTCCCATAATGCAACGCGCGCAGCCACGTGTGACGTCGCACATGGCTGTGACGTCATGACCCTATCGACCTGCTAAATTTGGTGGGAAGCTTTTTCTGCCAAATTTAGTGAAAAATGTTCCCTCCAAATTTTTTTCTCTACAAATATGCATTAGCCTTTGCTTCAACTTTTTGGGTGTGTCTCAATGTAAAATAGTCACCTGTGGTTCGGTGATAATATAGGTGTCTAAAGATGAGGAGACAGATTATCAGAGGGAGCTTCCAACCAAGTCTGCATGTTTCTGTATTTCAAGAACCAAAATGCTCAGAAAGTTTTCACAACGTGTGTTTCTAAATTAGAGGGATAGCTTTGGAACCTATAGCGAATCTTGCATTGTTTGTGAGCTAATGCTTGGTCATGTAAGGACTTCAAAACCCGGGTGGTTTCAACTTTTGTGGTAAAGCATATATGTCACGTCGAATTTTGAAGATTTATATTCATCTGGAGGCAAACGGCGACTGTATGGCTAGCAGACAATGGAATTAAAATAAGTAAACGTCCTAAAAAGAACATACTTGCGTAACTCACTTTTATGTTTCACCTGACTCACTTCCTGTCACGCACACTACGAAACACTGCCTGTGCTTTCAATAGAAAGAGGTGAAACCAAAGCCATAACAAAGCTCCCTCGACTCATATCTGATTATTTATTCCTCTTACATTAACTAACACAATTTTAAATACTGGTTTCTCCTCTGAAACTCTTATGCTCATGCTCTTTTGACATCCAGCATTGTGGCAATGGGAGGTAAGATTATTTTCAAAATTAGTCTAAAAATATGTTCATTGAATTGTCCCCTGCACACTCTTACACCAATAGGGAGAGGGCTTGGATCCTTTTATTAAAAGTCCACTTTACTGTCTGATTCAAGGTGCACTTCTACTTAACCTTGTACTTTACTTTATTCATGTCTGCTCATGCTCCTGTCGTGCTCCTACAATAAAAAATAAATTTAGTATGCATTTCTTGTTTGGATTAGAAACATAACAGTAAGATCAATATGTTTCCTCTTTTGTCTGAAAAGAGCAAAAAGGGGGATCAGCAAAATAGTAAAACACAGCATTTGGATGGTACTTTACTGTCAACCATGAGCGTGGCTTTGACCCACTTCACTCTCACCCTGCACCTGGAGGAGCTTGGTTCATCATTGGCTGAGAAGCATCTGCATGCTAAAATTAGGCTGACAACAACATTGTGACAAAACCTGAACATGATTATGACAAGTTTTTGCTACCTCCGGACGTAATTGAGAGTATGGAAATGGTGCCCCACTCTCCTTGCGACCGCTAAATTTGGTGGACCAACATTGTTGGCCCAACAATGTTGGGCCAACAATCAAGCGCACTGATGCACGTGGATTCACCTGACAAACCCTATAGCCATTCTCTCACTTGGAATGAGGTAGAAATCTGCACAGGCCCAGGCCAACCCAAAAGCCCGCAGGCTTGGCCGGGAACGAAGCAGCATTGTTATCCGAGTATATAGAGTACACCCATACTTTTTCAGAGCTGCTTCGGATGTAGAAGATAAGGCATGCCTTGGCCTCTCGCTGGGCACAGACATGCTCCCTCTTTCCCACTTATGATTTGTCTTTTTCTAGGGATACGCCTCCATAATAAAAGAGGAGCTTAAAAAATTTCCAGAGGAAGTCAGAGATCAGGTTGTCATCCTGTTTTCAGCGCACTCGCTTCCCATGAAGGTAAGCATATCCTGCATTACCCGCTCTAGCTATCTGTCCTCCCTTGCTCGCAACTAGGGGTGGCATTGTCGTTTGTGACCCTTTTATGTGCTACTATCTAGTGATGAAGAATATCATCACATGGTGTATTACTTGGTTGATGCAAATCAACATTACGAAAACAAAGTCTCTAACTTTCACCACCAAATTAAATGTTGATCGCAGTTGGAGAAAACCAGATTGAAAATGTCACATCAATCAAATATCTCGGCATCCATCTTTCAGCTAACCTATCATGGAACCTTCGTACTGAGCATATCATCAGCAAAGCGTCTAAAACTCTGGGATTTCTTGAACGTTCATTGTTCCAGGCTAATAAAGCAACTAAACTTCTTGCGCATACTCTTTCGTAAGATCGCAGTTGGAGTACGCGTCCATTATTTGGCACCCTCATCAAATTTATCTAACCAATAATATTGAGGCATTTAAAATAAAGCTGCCAGGTTTATAGCTAAGGATTACTCGCCATATTCAAGTGTGACTAACATAAAACATTCCCTCAATCTTTCACCACTTCATTGTCGTAGATATATTTCTGCATGTACTTCTTCCACAAGCTATACCATGGTTCATCTGCTTTCAGAGATTCATACATCCAGCCTCCTCATTATGTCTCATCCCACGTAGATCACCCCTTCAAAGTACGCCCCATTTTTGCTCGCACCAACCTATTCAAAAACTCCCCTCTCCTCCTCGCTGTCTCCGATTGGAACAGCCTACTCAGCGATATTGTGTCAATCACCTCAGCCTAGATATTTACCAACGCCCTAACCAATGAATAATAATGTATGTAGTTTTTGCTTACCTAATTTTCTGTAAGCATTTTTTTTTGTTTTTTCTGTTATTATATGTCAATGTCATCTTTTTGTCACTGAGTGCACTACCTTTGTCTATGATTACCCCCCCCCCCCCCCACCCTACGTAATGCCCGAAAGGGTTTTTAGGGTAAATAAATAAATTAATCAGGAGAGCAGCCAGATTGGTTACTACACAAATGCTTTTGTGATGCTCTGACAGTCGTGGCATAGTTACGATATCTCTCCCCATCCCCGATATTTCGAACTGTTAAAGAAAACAATACGGGGAAAGAGGGCATGGTCGAGCTTATCTTAATCTGAAATTATTTATGCATATGTAAAGCTACTGTCGCTCTTCACTGCATAAAAGATCGCGTAGATGGTCATTGTTAGAAACTCGTTGTCAGAAGGCGCTACTCGTCACATGCTCGGTGGTTCGGAAGTTCAAAGCTATGTCTTTTCGACCTAAATAACTGTGCCATTGGTAAAAAGTAATAAATAAATAAACATAACAATAAATGCAAAAATAAAAAGCAGGAGAAAAAAAAAAAGAACTATCAAGAACTCGCCGGAAGTGTTGTATTCTTGCATATTCAGAGGCCCAGAACTTTTTAATGACGTGCTGAACTTGAAAAATTTTAGAAATCTTTCCCCATGAGTTCATTTATTCCTCAACGTGAAAAAAAAAAGACAGTAAATACCTTATTTTGTTTTCTGCAGATGGTTATGATATGTACTGTCTGTGGTGTTAATTTAAATGCGATACCTCAAACAATTTAGACGAAAAAAATTACCAAGTTCAGGGCATAATTGCCCATATTTGGATATTTTTTTTGAAACTCGTCTTGAACAACAATAGTCATATATGAAGACGACACTTACCTGGGCTATACGTAGATCATTCTTAAAAAGTTTAACATCTCTACCATAAATAGCTTCGGCTATAGCGTGCTTCAGATATGGCAGAAATGACAATTGTCAGAAACTTGCCGTCATTTCTCGCTCCTTCGGGAATCTATTTCTTTAAAACTAAGCACATCAGATGATTGAAATAAATGGCATTGTCTTTCGCAAGGAATGCGGCACTGCATGTAAAACTGCGAAAAAAAAAAATATGAATGTACCTCACTGCTTGAATCTAAATGAAACCACCCGCCCGTCTTTCAAAGTTCGACGAATTTCGAACTTTTACCCTAAAAGTTCGAAGTTCGTCGCACTTTTGACTTTTCAGGAATCGAAAGTTCGACAATTTTCGAATTCTTTAAATTAATAAGTTTGAAAGTTCGGAAAATATTGAATTTCTTAGTGTAGGAAATTAGTGCGAAAAATTTGAAAGTTCGAAAATCATCGAATTTTTTAGTCTATTAAGTTCGAAAGTTTGACAAGCATCGAATTTTACAGTGTAATAAGTTCGAAATTTCAAAGAGCGTCGAACTTCTTAGTTTAATAAGTTCGAAAATTTGACTTCCGTTGAATTTCTCGATATGGAAAGTTCGAGAATTTCAAATCTTTCGAACCTTTCGAACCGCTTGATTCGATCATCGAACCTTCGGTTCGAAAAAAGCTTGCGGCACCCCTAGAAAATACACTCTCACGTGGATGAAATGATCCATCTGCAAAACGTCAACAGACACAACTCTTCCACTGATATTTGAATCTGAATGTTGTATTGAAGTAACTCCAAGGAAACTTCTGGTCCTGTGGTAGACTGCTAGTCTTGCAGAATTTGTGAAATTTAATTTGCTAATTTTTTTTGAGAAGTGTATAATTATGGCTGCCCAAGAATGTCCCTGCATGTTGTGTGAGAGGCCTGTATAAAAAAACTGGCGACATGTGCAGTTTGCAGCCGGACCAGGAATAGGTTGAAGTGAGCCTGTTGCCAAACAAGGAATGATCACTATTCTAATATGGCACAATATAATATGAAATGCAGTGAAGAGCAATAAATAGTATTTCACGGACAGTCCAAGTTGGCAACGAGTTTTAAGTTGACATCTCTGACATGGACATCTCTGTTCCAGGTAGTGGGCAAAGGGGATCCCTACCCCACCGAAGTGGCTGCCACCGTTGTTGGTGTGATGAACGAGCTGAACAACAGCCATCCTTACCGCCTCGTCTGGCAGTCAAAGGTCAGCTCATTAGCAATTACAGTTCTCTTCCCGAGACAAAAGTCTGCCATATATGCCATTATATAAATGCCATAAATAGAAATGCATCATATTTTTTTTTCTTAAAGCATGAAATGCTTTAGAATGAAAGTTCCCTACTCCCAGAAATTTATCCATCTATGCATTTGCACGCACTCCATGGCACATGATGTAATGCAACCCCACAACTTGACACCATAACGTCACGCTTTTTATTCTGGTAAATGGATTTCAATGATTGCTCCTTTAATACTGCATTTCATGCATTATAGGAATTCAGAGATGAAGGTTGCTGCCTATTTTTTATCCATCAGTGTCAATGCTTGCTTTGGGACCTTTTCTGTCGTCGTTGCCACTTTCTTTATTCTTCTACCACTATGCATTTCAGTTCACAACTTATTTCTGGGAATGAGTCGTAAACTGAATGTGAAATAGACATGAATTCAGACAGCTCTTTCTTGAGTAGTGTGTTCCTGCTAGCCCCCTAATGCACTTTTTAAAGGAGCTGTGCAACAGTTTCAGTGCTTTGCTTAAATAATTTGGGAGGTGGTGTCTCAACCTTTCTGAAGTAAATAAGAAAAACCGCTTTTGCCTGCATGACCTAGTTTTTATTTTAAAAATGGATAAAGATTGAGGTTTTCGGCACCTCTCAATTCCTTCACCATCTTCCGAGTCGCGCGTGCTGTGACGTCAATGGGGGTTGCACGGGGTCCCGGTGAAGCTCTCTTTCTAGAGCCATCAGTGAGCAGCGAGAACTCATCCGCTTGCGACTGCAAGACCACGTGCTGCTGGGCGCAGTGCGAACAATATGGTGAAAGGAGGAAAATGTCATCCGGGTCCGGCCATTCGCGACTCCAGCGACCTATAGGGGGCGCCACCACCAAACAAACATGACGGCTGGGTCCAGGTCGCGTCGGCTCAGCCGGGCCGCCTGAATGGGTGGCGTATTCAATTTAACAGATTTTCTTTTGTTTAATGCCCAATTTTATGGGTATTTGAACTGAGATGGTTATGTGTAGCCGATGCGCATAAACTTGCTGAGCATAGTTTTGTTTTGCCGGTGTTTTTTGTTCTTTTCATGTCAAACTTTCGTTTCGGAGACTTCGTTCAAAACCGAAACTGTGGGCTCCGGAGAAAGGGTAATAGACTATAATTAGTTTTGATCATCAGGAAAGCGGCGATGGCTACAAAATTGTTCCACCGAGAATAATTTTTAACTAACTTGCATGCCTCGACCATGCGACTTATCTGTCTGCGAAATTGAGCTTTTGTGCGTGTCCGTGTTTCAAGAAACAGCTCCAGTCGCGTGCTCGGTCAAGAACACAGTTTGCAGGAAAATTACGAAAATTAAGCAAGCGCTTCTTGAGCCAAGGAGCATGTTAACCCGCTGGCGCTTCACTAAGCAGCTGATACTCATATTTAAATTCAGGTTTTAGTAGCAATCGAGAAGTCATTTTGACGAATAGGTGGATTATGTATTATATTACATACTATGTCCCACTAAAGCGATATTAGTATATTCTTCGGGTTGAAATATGAACTTAGTTGACTAACTATTAGGTGAACTGCTGAATAAAAGTATATTTGACAGACTGAGAGATACTACTTAAACTTAGCCAAATGATTCTAGCCGGTAGAACGGAGACGAATGCGGACAAACTGAGGAGAGTCTTCATTGGAGATTCACTCAGACCCCTCTGCAATGAACTTGACTTTGAATTCTGAACGGATAAAATGAGTATTTTTTGTGGCCGGTCAACCTGAGCAATGTAGACGTATATTGCTGCTGGCTTCGACAGAGGTTATAATATAAATATTGGAGGGCGGGATAGATCCTAATGTTGTGACAGCTTCTAACTTTGCGAGACACGTCTCCCACCTTTTGAAAGCAGATAATTTCCCTCATTAATCTTATGCAGCGAGCAGGTTTTCTGAATCAAGTAATTGCGAAATCAGCCCAACTCCTTCAGTGTGGTTTTGTTCGGCGAAAAGCTGCCAAGATGAATAGTCAACGCACCGGCCGGCGTTAGTGGCTCAAACTTGAAGCTAATCGAGCACAACCAAACTCAAGAAAAGCAGCTATCGAACCTTCCCATTCACTTGACTGCAACATTGGTGTTCCCTCTAGTGAAACACTTCATATGTCGACCTCAGTCCACTATTCTACATCCTTATAAAAAAAACCACTTATCAGTTACCAAGTAGTCGTCACTTGGAATGTGATTAGAGGCAGACAAGAAATCAAACGTTTTTTCGTGATTCCTCCCCATCCAAATAATTTAAAGCACGCGACCGTGTGCTGTGGAGTAAACGGGCTTTCAAACACGTGATGGAAAGAAACAATCTACTGAGGCTTCACCATACTAATGAACACTCAGGCAAACTTAAGAAATTTTCGGACCTTCGTCAAGTTACATTGCTCGCCCCCGCGCCGACAGCACGTGTTCGCGAAAGCCACCAGAGACGCGGCGGGGCGCGGAGCGACCTGGACCGACTGGTTCCCGGTTTTCCCGCTTGGCGGCGTCCGTTTTGCTGGAGTCGCGAATACCCGTCTAGCTCTGTCCCCCTCCCCCTCCGGCTTCTGGCAGCTGTTCGCAATAGCAGGTAGAGCTGACAATTTTGTGGACCTAGGATAGATGGCACCACTAAAACTCCGTATAATAAAAGTTTTGTCGATGATACCAGGTTTTTGACGCATTTATATTTATGTTGGAACAAGAAGATTTATAAGAACATTACCTTTTATCGAGGAGGTATTCGCACAACTAGCTGTCTTTCTACAAGGCCCCCATTGACGTCATGCCGCGTGTTTCTCATGGCCGCCGCTCTCGGCTGCAGGTCGGGGAATATTCTCGCAATTATGCGGCGGAATTGCAACATTTCGAAAGAAGGAGGTGTGTTTTCTGTCTTTTGTGACAACATGAAAAATGTCAAAAGCAAAAGATGCCAATTCTTTCAATGTTAAAATCGTTGCCTCAAGACCTCATTGTTGCCTAGGAACCCACCTGGGGCATTCTGCAAAATCCCTAAATCCACTGTGGCTTGTTTTGAGATTAAAGGGAAGCTGAAGCGGTTCTGTAGTTGAAGAAAAAAAAAAGTGAAAGCCGCTTACAACTCCCTGTAACGCCGAATTAGAGCGCAGCTCTTGAGGAGAAGGAGAGAAGGGTACTGGGGGGGGGGGGGGGTTCAACTGACCAGGGGGGGGGGTCACGTGACCTTGGGGGTCACGTGACCCCCCAATGCCGATGATTGTCATCACTGACGACGTCATCAGTGACGATGACGATGCGGATACCGATGACGTCATTAGTGACGTCACTGATGACTTCACCAGTGATGATGACGATGACGATGCGAATGTCGGTGACGTCATCAGTGACGTCACTTACGTCATCAGTGATGATGACGATGACGATGTGGATGCCGGTGACGACATCAGTGACGTCACTGATGACGTCATCAGTGATGATGACGATGCAGATGTCGGTAACGTCATCAGTGATGATGACGATGCGGATGCCGGTGACGTCATCAGTGATGATGACGATGTGGATGCCAGTGACGTCATCAGTGTCGATGACGTCATCGGGGGGTCACGCGACATCGGCGAGGGTCACCTGACCTCGGGGGTCATGTGACCTCGAGGAGGGGGTCACGTGACCTCAGGAGAGTCACGTGACTTCGGGGGGTCACGTGCCCTCCCCCCCCACGAGGTCACGTGACCCCAGTGGGGGGCTCGTGCGGTGCATTATGAGACATTTCCCATAATGCACCGCGTGGTTACGCCGACGCCGCTCAAGCCGGAAACGGGCCCCTAAGAGCTGCGCTCTAAAACACGGAGATCTCAACATTCCTGCACCTTCCGCAGGCCTCACCCGAAAAATCAGAAGTGCCGCAAACATTCCCTCAGAAGCAGCATGGGTGAGGCTGTTAAACCCCCTGGGTTTGACATTACACCCGGCGGTTAATTTTTCGGTTTTTCTTGTGTTTGGCGATAGGTTGGGTCAAATGCTCGCGATATTCGCATTCACGGGACAAAAATGTGCAAAAATTCACCTCTAACTCGTTTTTCTTTCGGGAACCTCTTCAGCTTTCCTTTGCTGAACTAGCATCTTCACTTGGACTGAGATTTAGAGTCCCGTATAAAGTCTAAAGAGCTACACTGTGCAAGATAAAAGTAACAGTGGTAAGTGAAATGAAAAGTGGCTTTGTCTATCACTGTTGCTTAGCTTTCGCGTCGTGCTGCAGCGAATTGGCAAAGTGGAAAGCCTTCAGCTTGAAGATACTACAGTGCGACATGGCTGCAGGTGGGGCCCCTGCCGTGGCTGAAACCGGAGACGGAGGCCAGCATGCGTGCCCTGGCTCGGAAGGGCCACCGCCACCAGCTGCTTGTGCCCGTCGCCTTTGTCAATGAACACATCGAAACTCTGCACGAGATGGACCTGGAGCTGGGCAGGGATGTTGCACCCAAGGTACAAGAACACGATGCTTGGCTCACAGAGTTTGTGCGTGCCGTTAGCCTTGGCAAATAGTGTTCTGTGGATAGATTACCCGCACCCACGGTAGTTTTGGGACCTTTTGCGGACACTTCCATCCTGTAGTGAAGGTCCCGACAGTATGTGGTCTAGATTGTAGTCCAGATCCAGATTTTAGTATGTGGGTTCCCAAACTGGGTTGCTAGGAACCCAGGGGATTCCCTAGGGTACCCTTAAGGGTTCCCCCTCACACCCGAATTTCCTCGGCTGTCCCTGCCCCCAAGTAAGGTGGCCTTCCCGTTTGAGCTTTGTTTTAGCAGATCCGAGCCACCCGTTTGTGCTTAACTATGAGCAAAGTGCTTCCTTGTTCATGTAATAATGTTTACATAAGGTGCGTAGGCTTCTTCACCGCTTTATAGCGTGGGTGCCGAGACAGACGTGTTCCTTGGCCATCAATCGAGAGAGCTAGGGGTTCCTGAAGATTGAAGTATTCGAGAACCCCCATTTTAGCGTATCATTTGCTCCTAGGTACTCTTGCCAGGTGCTAACCCATTTTGTTCAATGCAGAAGCCTAGGGGACCAAAATGTTTGTGCAGTTCCCTCTGTCAGGGGGTGGCAGCGGATGATTACCTGGATGGATGGATGGATGTTAATGGCTACACACTTTGCAATGGGCGGGTAGCTTGTGCCATCTAGCCTAAAAAAGATTTTATTTGAGTGTACCACAGAAGAAGACCCGAGCGTATGATGACGGCATCGAGCCCGCTGCTCTTTACGGCGCACTTTGGAAGCCGAACTAAAGGCCGATGCTGCAGACATGCCACGAGTTCCATTCGCTGTCCTGCCGGGTGCAATGTCAACGGGCATTGTACTGGCATACATCTATGTAACCAAAATACTGCGCGGTGTACAGTGGCTAGCGATACGAGCTAGAATGCGCAAACGGCGACCAGGCAATACGGTCCACGCAGTGTAGCAGGCGGTGTGTGGAGGGTTAGAATGGCAGTGGTGGTATTTGAGTGCGTACGCACGGTAGCCGTGCGACAGCGTGAATTGTACTGTCTGGTCGCCGTTTGCGCATTCTAGCTCATCACTAGCCACTGTGCTCTGCACAACACAGCTAATGCGAACATGACATCAACACTTGGGCCACTGAAGTGTGGGCCAACAAAAAAGTTCGAGCAATGCGAAAAAAAAATTTCCGGTGTGTCGAATTCGCTTGTTTTGTGGCCACGAGTGGAAGGTGCTGAGAAATGCCACCTGAATTTGATTACTGTAAAATCCAGAGATGCCCCTTCCCCGAAAGGTAACCCGTCTTATATTTATGGCTTGATTCGCTATTTTCTTTTTAAACCCCGAAAGATAGCCCACTCCTAGTAATTTTAGTGTATGAATCAATGATGACATCGGCGTAAATGCATCTAGATTATCTATGGCGGGATATAAGCAAACATTGCTGACGGGAAAGTACAGTCATCTTTGCTTTGTTGACCTTTGCCACAATAACAAGTAGCATTTTTTCAACTTTTCTCAATTGCACACTGAAAGTTGGCCCACTCCTTATTTTAAGGGGGGACATGGCCTGGGAGGGTCAACTTTTGAACCATTCCCTTAAATTGATTCAAACTTTCAGGGTGAATTGAACCCCATTAGGATTGATGACATCTAAGGTTTCAGTCTTGTAGGCCAATTCTACAACACACAGTGCTTAAAAAGCTCCAGAAAAAAGTGACTTCAGGAGGAAATGTATTTAAAAAATATAATAATTGCAATCCACAAAATGTTTGTTTTAATGTGAAGTAGAATACCCATAGTGCAAGTTAAGGTAAAAATTAACTGTAGAAAATGCAATTTTAAAGGAAAACAATAACACCCAAAAAGTGCAAAAGATTTTAACAAATTTCTGTGTTTTAAAATATTCAGTTTTTGTCATGAAGAAGTTAGCTTTTTCAGAATTTGAGTAGCTTAACTTGTTCCTCAGGAAATTTCAGTCCAGGACACCACTGAATGAAATCTTTACACTTTCGGAATGTCAAATGATACATTTCCTCATACCACATTTCCTGCCAAAAAGCGGAACTGAGAAAAATGCATTTGAAGTTTCAACTTTAGATTTCTTTCTTTTGCATGAGCCCGAGGTAGGCAAAATTCACCTGGGGCATTGTTAGCACCTTCCTCTTTGAGACTTCATTGTTCCCCAGGCAATAGCTACCAGTTTGTGTCATTTGTAGGCAAGCTAACTTTTGTAGCAGGCATTCCTTGACAAATAAACTGGCAAGAACGGAGAGGCAAATCATACTAAAGAAGAGCAGCAAAGCAGGAATATGATCTGAAGTGGAAGATACTGTGAAAGGGTGTTACTGAAGATGACACAATATCACAACACTGGGCAGGACCAATCGTAAACCCTGTTTCGGGTCTCAACCAATAAGATTGCTCATACCAAATTTTCAGGATTTTTTCTGTTTGGATGTAAAGGGTTCTCCTGGCAATTAATGCTTTTGAACTCTGAAAGTCTCTACGGGCTAAATCTAGATTAAATGGCGCTTCCAATGAGGGTGAGATGTTCTGGCTATGTTAAACGGGTATGAAGCAGCACTAAATAAAAAACACACAAAACTTGCTTTATGCTGACTCAGAGGGCTGCCGACATGTCGAAAATAATTTATTGTGAGATAAATCCTGCATGTATAAAAATGAAATTTTCTGAAATTATTCTTTGGAAGTTAATAAACATAAAAATATACTTTTTGAAAAAAACATTTTTTCTCAAAATTTTGAATTCTGAGGCCATGTCCCCCCTTAACCCAAGTTTTTCTCGATTTTAGGTGGGCTATCTCTTGGTATATTACGGTTGATGTTCGAGATACCAAAGCTGATATTGGCGACGTGTGCGACCAAGGGCGTCGTTGTCGTCGGCTTTCCACGATTGGTCAAGCGCTCACTATGACGTCCTTAGTAGGACGAGTTCTGCTCTCCTTGACGGAAATAAGGGGAAAGTCAGACTCTCAACTTTGATGGTGTTGATTTAGGAACATGATGACCAGTCTTTTATCACACTTTTTACGCACCATCGAACTTGTCGCTCGCCACTAATAATCTCAGTCATGAAGTCAGTGATAGGAACCATAAGGGGCGCCACCAAAACATCTCGTCGCCAATAGCACCAAAACTGAAATGCGGGATATTTGCATATTAAATTTATGTTCAGTCTAGCAGGTGCTGGTGACCTTACGGCAGAAACGCTTATTTCATCTAACATAAAATTTGATGCTTGAAGTTATATTTAAATTTGGGTAGGCGTTGCATATGGATGCGGTTTGCAACCTCCAGCTTCCTTTCCCATCTAGGAGATAGCTGCAAACCAAAATTGTCTCGTACGGTTCTACCAGTGTGTTTCACGGCAAGAATTAATGAAAGTTTTAGTTCTGTCGAAATTTGCACATACCTTTTCTTTTTTCAGATTGGGCTTTTAAATTTCCGTCGTGCTCCAGCTCTGAACGACCATCCAGCATTTATTCAGGTGAGGTTTTTATTTACACCTGCACCAGCATCCTGGCTGTTGAGACCAATCCCAGACATAGACTTTTTATTGAATCTTGGCACATACAAACAACGCCAGAAAACATAAATAGATCCCTCGGCACTCTGCTGACCGGCTACGTGAACGGACTTCGCCACCTCACCGATGCAAAACGATAGACACTGCCGTAGAAGAAGACGAAAACAGATTACTGCTCCTCAACGGCCATAGCCGCAGTCAACCCCTGAAGAAGAGACCGAGCTGGTCTCGAAACGTAGGGTTTTCCTTTATACAAGGATTTGGTTGGTGTATATTCTATTTATTATTATTGTTGCTCCCCAACCAGAGAGACCTCTCTCAAATGTTCACCTTCATATTCTATTTATTATTATGGCTTTTATTTAAGCATTTCATTTGTCGTCTACGCACGAGGCACTGCCGGATGCCCCCTTCCATTACCTTGGAAGTGGAAAATACCCACCTTTAAGTAATCTGCTTATTTGGCCCTAATTCGATGAAATGACCCAAATTGCGTGAGAAGGGAAACAAGATGCAAATATACAACACAGGACAAGCCCCTATGCAGCTAAACATTTTTCTGTGGGTATATTAGATACAGAAGCACTAATCTAACGGTCCTGTAGAAACATATTCTCTAAAGGACAGCAGCAGAGCCCCACATAAACATTCAACAAAAAGAGACACAGGCCAAAAGACAAAAAAAAAAAAGGTTTTCTTTAACTCTTTTCTGACAATGCTCATAGGCCATCGATCACCAGTGATCTATGGTTTTCAAGCGTTGATAAAAAATTAAATGTAGTGATTAAAAACTAAAAGTGGCACAAAGACACGGACAAGAACAGGAAGGTAGAAGAATAAGGCACCGACTTACAACTGTAGCAGTATAAACGTAGCAACTTACAACTGTAGCAGTATAAACGTAGCAACGTACAACATAGCAGTATAAATACTGCTACGTCATAACAAACAAACCATGAGAAAAAAAAACAACCGCATCTCCGCCTGGTGAATGATGTTGATTGGGGCAAAGCTCTGGTGGTGCTGATGATACCGATTTTGTTCATAGGTAGTGCTGATGGTGCTTTTTTTTTTTTTTTAATGCTCATAGGTAGTGCCGAGTTCCGGGTTGCATTGGTATAGAATGTGTGGTATGGAACTTGGTTGTATACGCATTTCAGCATTTGACCGCAGCGCCCTCTCGTCTATAAACATTGAGCTAATGCATGCAAAGTTTAACGCGATTATATACGCATTTGACCGCAGCGCCCTCTCCTGTATAGATGTTGAGCGGCTACATGTAATGTTGGAATGTAGCATAGTGGTTAAGACGTCTGCCTCGTAAGGAATCGGTCCCGAGTTCGAACCCCCATGCGGGCATACATTTTTTTTAAAAGTGGGCCAATCCCGGAAGCAGTGCAATCGATGTGAGCACGGACGCCGGACAAGGCCAGACCCTAAGGAGTTTTGCCCCTAAAAGACAAGATGGGTTTCTTAGCTCTTGGCTTGTATATCCAGCACACATGGCCACAACTAAGTTGAAGGCTCAGATCCAGAAACCTGATGGCCCCATTTGCAGGTACTTCATGCATCAGCACGAGCAGCTTTAGACACTCTTTAAACATTGAATGGTGTCCGTGTCTTTGTGCTGTTTCTAATTTTTAATTATGAAATACCAACAGGCCCAAACTTCTATGTTAGTCAATTAAATTTAGTGCAGAGAATTATGTTCCAGTCTTGTGGATAGCCAAAGAATTGTGGTTTCGGTTTCAACATCGGTTCTAGCTTTATCGCAAGCTGGTGATAGAGCTAAATGTTGGATGCACTTGTCTAACATGGCTAACTGCTTGCATCAGTCCTTGTAACAAAGATGGCATTATTAACATAATTCAACTGTATTGTGGCATATTTTTTAGACCTCAAGAGCTTTCGGGACACTTTAAATGATCTTATAGGCGTCGCTTAACAAATGGTTGTCAGTAAGTATCACTACAATTTCCAATGCTGTCCCGAAACCGGCAAGCACCTTTTATGTTCCGAACAAGGCAGACAAAAATGCTTAATATAAAGGAACTGCAATGAAAGCTATGACAATACCAAGGTAGAACACAAAGAAAGCTTTCTGCTGGGGATGTGAGGTGACGTATCTGTGTTTCACCAATATGAGCATTCCTTCTTTGAAAAGCACACGGTATTACGACGAACTAAAAATAGACGTCAGTTAGAGTACACTAACTTTCAGAATAGCCGTGGGTGTGGGGCACATTTTGTATCTTCAAAGTTTTTCTTTTTTTTTTAGTTTGAAAGCTGTAGAAGTTTTGGCGTTTATACGCTTTCCGCACATACATTGTATTTTCAAGAAATAAATTTTTTTAATATTTTTTTCACACTATGCCAACTTTTGTTTCTTTTGAAAGAACAACTAATTGGCCACATTTTTATGTGTCATATTACTTAGTTAGGAAACTAAAAGGGTTTGCACAGGTCTGGTGTTGGAGTGAAGCCGACAATGTTTGACCGGAAAAAAATAGGCAACTCCCTCGCCGGGAGTTGCCTAATAATAATAATAATAATAAAAAAAAAGTTTTTAGCTTTTTATTTTGGTGAAGGAAGAGCAGCGGTGGTGGCTTTCCAGGCAAGCGAACTGCTCTTCTTTTGCAAGGGAATCTGAAGCGCTTGACGCAGTGGAACTTTAGGCGATAGCGTCCTCGCGGCGGTTGCAGAACCGTTCGTGCTACTGTGCACATCGCCGTTCGTTCCGTTCCCGCTCTTCCTCCAAAGAAACGTTGCCGCCACCTATGAGCGACTGCAGCAACCAGTTGTCTGGTTGCCGAAACTGGGTAGTTTGTCGCGACCTATGAGCGACGGCGGCAAGCAGACAACCGGCAAACACAACACTCTGGACAGCTACCGCCATCTATGAGCGACGGCAGCAACCAGAGTATTGTGTCGATCCCCAGGATCGACAACACGATCCTGGGGAAACTAGCCCTTAACAGCTTCGTTGTAAAAAAAGCAAGAATGACAATAAGAAAAAGGTTAATCTCCAATTAGATAACTTCCCAAAAGCACAAAGGAAACCCATTGTGGTAAAGTCAAGATATTTCTTACTTCTCTCAGTTGGCTTCCTTACAGCTTGGCTTTAGAGGGGGGGAGGGGGGGGGGGGAGGGGAATGCATGCATGCACAATTGAGTCAAGGTTGAGTGTGGAAAGATGAAGATTTTGCATGCCGATTTAAAGGGACAGAAAAGTAGTTGTGAAATATAAAAAAAAAAAAAACTATTCATGTCCAGGTAGAAAAAAAAAGAAAGAAAAGCTTCATCTTGCACAATTGCATTATACTGTCGACTACGGAAATCTTGCAGAGTCGGCACACCTGCATGCGACACTTGTGAAGAAAACTGAAGACATAGTGTAACCTGGCATAAGAAGTTGGTGAAAACAGAAAGGCTTCTCAGCAGAAAGAAACGGTCCAACATTGTGTGGTTTACTGTGGAAGCGATATTGTCCGAGCAGACCTCCCCTTAAAAAAATATGTTGCGTGAGAATCAGTAGACCATCCTAAAATCAGTAGATTTGAACAAAAACCATGTTTTAGTACTTTCAGGTCACTCTCTTAAAGGGCAACTGCAAAGAAAGAAAAGTGTATTTTTAAACAACCTAATTGGGACAAGCATGTTGCAAAACAATTTTTCCGCCGAAAACAAAATTTTTTTACAGCAATATTTATAGCGCTAGACCGATTTTAGTTTGCGGCTAATTCGTCAGTTTTAAATCGCGCGCCACAAAGTTGGTATTATACGTCACATAGTGGCTGCTATACGTCACGGAGTGACGTATAACAGCCACTCTGCGCTCGTCAAAAAAGCGGAAGTTTCAAATATGGAGAAGTTGTGACTCCCACTAAATTACGTCCTGTGGTGTAAATATTGCTAGTAAAAAAATGGGGTTTTTTTGCGGAAGATTTGTTTTGTGGCATGCATGTCCCAATTAGGCTGTTTAAAAAAACACTTGTTTTTCTTTGCAGTTACCCTTTAACAATTACCAAACAGTCTGTAACAAAATAGTAAACATACCATACTACGTTTCACCTTACAATGGACCACCGATGATGCTTTGAGCCATCCAAGCCAATCCAATACCATGCGAGTATCACGTGGCCATCTGGAGGGGCACGTGATATGCGGTCACACAATACGTTCATAGTGTTGGATTGACTGGCATGGCTCAAAGTGTGTGCTGCAATCCATTGTAAGGTGAAGTGGAATATGGATATAGATCAGTTAAGGGTCCCTACAAGGACCCCGAGACAAAAACTCTGGAAGCTGTCACAAGTTGTAGCGATACCAGGCGGCAAGACTGCACAAGCAGAATAAAAGAGAACGACGAGCGTGGCTCGAGTTCTTTTCGACTCTTGCATGTGTCAAACGTGTGTATCGTTTTTTCCGGGTCTTGAACCCGACGGACGAAGTTGTATGATCGTCACAGAAGCTTGTCCTAGTGAGACAAAGTGCAGTGAAACTCGAGGAGAACCGCAGCTGCCAGTAAGGGAGGGGTTCGTGCGGTTAGGGTGGAATCTTGTCAAGTTCCCAAGGGGGGGGTTCTCAAGTAGACGATTCTCTGCTTTCAGGGCCTCGCTGATCTTGTCAAGGAACACCTAGAGTCTGGCCAGAAGTGCTCTCCACAACTGCTGCTGACGTGCCCCATGTGCGACAAGAGGATATGCAAGGACATGCGGGAATGGGTGGCGTCTCTGCCTTGAGTCCTGGACTGGATAGTGCTTGGGCAACCAAATGGGAAATCTCGACCATCCGATGACTCCAATTTATTGGACGGTGTTACAAAATAGGGACAATTGCTCATTAATTCATTGTGCAAGGGTGAACATTCGAAACACCATGATACGCATGGTGAAAGAATAAAGGTGCGATTCTTTTAAACCTTTGGCTAGGTACATCGTGTGTGTCTGTGAGAAATGGACGTTTTGTCACCGAGATGTCATGTGGCACTGTGGGTTTATTAGACAATCTTAAATAATAAAAGAATTCATCCGTGGTAATCTGCGCGGTAAAATCGCGGCGTTTAACAGCTGACGCTCGACAGCGCAAAGCCACGATCGAGGATGCGAACCTCCGAAGTGGGGCTCGTGCTTCGAAGCCGGCGAAGCGCCGAGGCACGACGAAGAAAACGTCCGTGCCGTGACCACGCGTGATTGGAGAGCGATGCTGCGGCTGTGCTCCCAAGCACGCGCCCTTATACACGAAGCGCGTGGAGCAACCGGGCAAACGCGGGAGGCAAATTGCTGCCAAAGATGGTGCTGCACAAAAAATTCAACGGTATGTATACCACCACTTCGCACGACCACGCTGGTTTTCCCTTTCGTCGATTGCGACCAGAGACCTTGGGCCGCGACGTCACGGGCTGTACGCATATTTGGAAAACGGCGAACGATACAGCGATAAGGCAATCAACAAATTGACCTAGAAATTTTTAGTTACACGACTCATGAGCTACACCAGCATATAATTTTTAAGCACGAAAACTAGGCGCGGTGGAGCAAACAAAAAAAGGGGCGATCATTACGGACAGTGCAAATTGCGCATGTGACGTGAGTCACAGGCGTGTTTTTTCGACGAATCGCAGCTGTTGCAGCTGCATAGATCGTCGCTCAGATCCCACGGTACAAAGGTACGTATTCGTGCAAAAGAAACGCGGTTTCGTCGGCGGTAGGGGATTCTCTGCGAGTACGGACGAATAGCTGACCTTTTCGAAACTTCGCGACTTTGCCTTACAGGCCACGTGCTAGTTGGTTGGTGGTCCTGCGAAATTGGCCTTCTACAACATTCACCTTGGGAAGCGGCCTTTGTGCGAACACGACGCAGTAGTTGCGGCAGAGCGAAAATTAGAAGCCACGTGGGGATTGCAGAAGTCAACGGTCGTACGTCTGGCGTTATTGCTTCCTGGGCTTTGCGTCAGCTGTTTTTTAGAGAACACGTTGCGCAAACGAAACATTTCGGGAGAAGCAGTCGGGTGGCTGTCTCCAAGGGATTCAACGCCATCGTTTCTGCCGATATGACCCGTTCTCGTCATGAGCGGTTGCTGACCCTGACTGAGCCTTCGTCTACCGAGCTTGAAGGTCGTCGAATTAAAATTCAGATACATCTCGAACAAACAAATTAAAGGAACTATTTTTCTTCTCTTTTTTCCTCCGAAGGTTCGCGTCACTGTCACCGGAAAACCTGTTGACGTCACGCAGGAAGTTGAAATAGTAAAATTGAGCAAGAACGTGAACGCCGCTAGGGCTCTGCTCCGCCAATGGCCCGACTCGCTTGGTGTCACGTGAGCAAATTCTCGTCTTTGATTGTGGCAATCTGCTATTCATCACGAAAGGCTGAGCACACTGAGCATTGTCCCTCTGGCCGTGGGCTGTTGTAGGTAGGCAAGGATGCATATTGTTTCGTGAATCCTTTGGACAAAGGACAGTGTTTTGCGACCCTTCTTTGTCTGCGAGCGGTACTTTCTGCGGACGTGTTGCCGTTCCGCCGTGGACGTCTTTCGGGAGTTCGTCGAGTACGTGGTGGACGCCATTTTCTCTCGTCTTTCTGGTGGTGAATGTGCATTTCCTCTACGCGGTGCCCACATTCTTCAGAAATCCTGCGACTTTGTGCTTTGCGAGTCGTCGGCCGCAACCACAGACTGGCTTTCGACACTTCTTACTCGGGCTATCGGCTGTGAACGACCGCAAGGTGAGAGCATTCATAATCAGCTGGTGATGTTGCCAGGCCTAAAGCTCTTGCTACGCCCAGGCGTTTAAAAGGGCCTGGACAGTTTGTCACGGTTCTTGAACGAAACGTGTGTCAACTGCCCTTTGACTTTCGTTTTACCTCTATTGTAGAGACCCTCTCGAGGTGGCCTATGAGAGACTGCGTGAGATAAAGGGCCCTGAAATAGCGTAGGCCTATTGCGTAGAGTGGATATCCACTTCGCCCGAAGGCGTTATTGCTTATGCAAGTATGGTTACACTCGCTGTAGCTAGGGGATCGTCATTTCTCTAACCTTGTCTGTTAGTGTGACGCGGAGTGACAATGCAATATCGGCGGCCTCAGCGCTTCGTATGGCGCCCTTGGCACCGCGTTTGTCTACTTCGTCGGAGAGGAAGAGATCCTGAGGACCGTAGCTGCCGGTGCTTTCATCAAATCAGCACTTTTACATCTCTTCCCTCTCATCTGCTGAAGCGGTCGTGCGCGTGTTCGAAACGTGTTTAACAGCGAACATTGTGTTGTGTAAGCGAAATCTCGGGGTCGGCTCGCTTGTTCGGCGCTGTGCAGTGTGATCCGATCGTTTCCTCGTTTGTTCACAATGTGGTACATTCAGAGAATGACGTCAGCTAATCTTTTTTTTTCGTTCGTTTTATTTTTGATTTGCCCGAATATCGAATAGAGAAAACGTCAGTATATCTGCTTGCTCCGTTGTCTTTATTGTTCTTTTGTCTAATTTCCGGCGAATAACAAAGCGTTGACCCCATGGGCTAAGGCGAGCGAGTGAGTGAGGGACAGGCGACTCCGATTGGAGAGGTTTCTTTGCTGGCTGCGCCGATTATGAGATACGAAATTTCGTTCTGCCTGACAAAACAGCATTTTCGAAGTTCAGCGACGCGTCTCCTTTCCCTCGGTCTTTTTTTTTTTTAATTATTATTATAATAATATAAATATATATTTACGAAACGGCGATGTCCGTTTTACGTGCCAATATCGGGAAGCCGCGGTCCCCCACCTACGCCCTCACCTCACGAGGTGAGGTTTCTCACGCGTGATCACGTGGGGGCTCGGCTCTGATGCGCAGGTGACTTCTTTTACTTAAGCTACCTTTCCTGTTTGTTATTGTCCAACTTTGTTTCGTCTGGTTTTTGTTGGATTTCTACGTCACGTTTCATCGCGAACTGCTTGCGGCAGGTGCTGCAAAGCAGTCTTCTAGGCTATTGCTCTCCCACCTCTTATAAAAAAATTTAAGAAAAATATTTTTTTTTTTTTATTTGAAAGGAGTATTTTGCTGCTTTTTCTTTTATTTTTGTCCTTTTTGGTGTTCCTTAGATTTGATTCCAGACAGGTCAATGGCCTTTTCTTTAGGGAGTCGGGTTGAGTCCGACATGCTCACCGAATTTCCTATACACATTGCTTACGCAAATCTATGGCACGCAGATTCCTCGGATTTCCACAGAAATGCTTGACATTCTGTCATATTGCCGACTACGTGATTCTGCTGTGATTGTGTAACGCCATGCGGTACTTATCGCAAATAGGTATAGTTCATGGGGTGGCATTTGGCACCTCATTTTATCTAAAACAGCACTGATAAGGGTACACATTCAAAAAAGGGGTATTTATAATGAAGTTTCAGCAATGCTGAATTGTATGATGGGAGTGGGGGACAAAGTTTCACCTGTAGTCAGTTATGCAAGAGTGATTAGGTGACTCAATCTGATAATGGTAGCAGGCTTATTGGGGAAAAGTGTGAGGCTCATTGACATAATTCCTGCCAGTCCAAGAGTGAGGGATGTCCAATGCCAGATGGAGTTGACCTTTATTTGTTCACTGATAAGTATTTCATCTATTACCCATTAGGCCCTTTCACTTGGACGTTTCTCAACGGCATTGGCCATGATGGCAATGAAATGAGTCTGCCAAGGTTGCTGGCACCTTTCCACGAAAATATGCAACCTTCGTTTAATTTTTTCTCTTTGTGAAGGTGCTTTTTTTGTTTTGTGGGAGTATCGGAATATTTAGCCTTATTCATTTCTTTCTTTTGTTACATGTGTTTTGCTTTTGTGTCGAGCTGTGTGTCCAACCAGCCCTTGTGGTGCACACAAATATCCTGGCACGAGGACAAACATTAGTGCTCCACTAGAGATGTATGCTTAAATGCTTAGTCTGGCCACTTAATCATTTATGTTTATGGCATCTGTGTCATGCTGACGGTGACCTGATAGCTGATGTAGAAAGGACTTGGAGGTGTGCACGAGTAGATTCTACGAGGCCTGTTCACTTCAGACATGAAAGCCAATGTGATGCACAAATTTTATGCAAGCACTGCATCAGCATTAATTTCTGACTGGTCCCTTGGTCTGTTGACTCGCACTTGGTTATCGAGCCAATTAAGGGTATGCTGAAGTGGTCTTTTAATTCGAAAAATCTTAAAATGTAAATGAAGATACCTTGAATTGTGGGTAAAGTTCAGATTTTATTAGTAGGAGCAACATAATCGACAATGTTGGCGTAGCTTCATCCACTCCTTAGCGCAGGAGAGAAGGAAAGCAGAGTGAGACTAGCTAAAATCATGCCATCGGACGACCCTTGTTTGACTAAGGTTTCTCCAGGGATGCCGGCGATGACATCACAATGCCTTTCACAGATAAGTGCAGACAGGGTGACTCGCCACATGCCCTGCAGCTATCCCGGCATGTTTTTTTTTGGTCTAATTTAAGTGCAGTAATTTTATTTAGTGGACAAGTAAACATTACAAAGCCACGTCTAGCTTCCTTTCTTGAAATATGCCTTAGTTTCTTTTTAATCTAGATAATTTTACAGAGCTTTATCCAACTAAGTTAGCGCTTCCTTGTGACCGGGCATTTCTTCATCGCTGTGTGAAAATAATGGTTAATAATTGCAATTAGTACAGCACTGAACTTTGAAGTGGTCAGTTGAGCAGGGCCTTTGGCCAGGCGGTTGTGGATCTCCACCAGTCTCCTGGCGACTCCTCTGATGCGTCTCCGGCTGACCGCAGGTGCGCCCTACTGCTCCCCCCTGAGGTCGTGAGAAGAGGAGCTTGGAGGCGGCAGCGACATGGAGCGCGACACGAACCAGATGTCCCAGAACGGGGCCCTCTGTCGGTCGGGCTGTGGATTCTATGGCAGCCCAGGCACGGACGGTCTCTGCTCCCAGTGTTACAAGGACGCCCTCAAGCGCAAGCAGGCGGCCGGACGTGGCAGTCCCACGGGCGGCTCCTGGGACGGGCCCATTGCCGGTCAGTTGCCACATCCTTCCCACCGTCGACCGCACGTTTCTGCTGCGTGCAACCAGGGTTTCAGACGTTTGGATGCAGTATGTCTTATCTGGCTAGTTCCTAGCAGTCTTGAGAGTTCCAGCCAAACTCTGCACACGGCACTCGTTTCCAAAATCCAGCACTATGGCTTTGGTGGCTAGTATTCAAGGTTGCACATGCGATGGGAGTGTATGCAGTAGGGGAGGGAGGGAAGATTGCGCCCGGTGCTTCAAAGGAATCTGGGAGTCGCAAGATGGCGGGGTCGAAGCTGGGGTCTGTGACCGCGGGAGAAATGAACTTTGCTTCTACTCTTACTGAGCATTAGCTCTGACAGGACTGAGAGAGCAAGAACGTGCACATCACATGAATAACCAGACCTTGCATCTTTGTTTGTTTTCTAGTATGGGTTATCACGGGCATAAGTATTTAACCCGGTTGATGAGAATTGTTTTGTCTGCATTAAGATCCTCATTATAGGCTTCTGCCCTAAGCGGTGATTGCTAACTGTGCTGCTTAGTGCTTTAGAGTCCAAAAGGTTCACGTGTTGCATGGCTTTAAAGTTCAACTCATTGTTAAACTTCCAGAACTGAACACTGATCAGTTTAATCTAGTTATATTAGTAAGAGGCTGCAGTAGTCGTAGTTAGTATGATTTCTGTTGCAATCAGGTAGTCAGGTTAATAGCTTGTTTGTTGCATTTGTGGTTAAATAGGGCACCTTTGCTCCATCTCTTGTCTAGTGCAGGGGTGGCCGAGTTGAGGCTTGCGAGCCGCATAAGGCTCTTCGCGTGTGAAAGTGCGGCTCTAGGCTCTTCCCCCCCCCCCACACCCACGCGCACACACTCCCCCTCCTCACTCCCGGTCACATGAGTGCTTCCCCAAAACAAGGATTGGAACGAGTTTTAAATCGAAAGACAGGTTGCGGTTTTGTAGTCTTGTGCTACTGCTACCTTGCATACTTTGACTTTGATAGATTGAAAGAAGTTTGAGTTTCGTTTATTTGTCTGGACAAAAGTTTGCTCCCCCCCTCCCCCTCCCTCTGCGGCTCTTGTAAGTTTTATGCCTTTGTTTGCGGCTGTCAGGCCGGGTCAACCTGGCTACCCCTGGTCTAGTGTATCCGACAAACTGTAAATAAATTATGCTGCTGTATCTGCATTGCATTTGAGGTGGTCACTTACTTCGCACTATACGCCTATTGAAGCATAATTATGTATTAACTATTAACTTGCGACATTTTTTGTGAACTGTTGACCGTGGCAAAAGCAAAACAGCAGGATGCCAAGGAAAATGAGATTTGCTTGAACCCAGTCTAACTTTGGGAACAGGTGATGGGAGCCATTGGGAGGATCCCCGCGTACCACAGAGAGGAATGCCTTGCCTTGCAGCCTCGGCCTCCTCCAGCGAGAGCGTTTCCTCCACAACCATCACTGCCGTCTCCGACTCGGCGCTGAACACAGCCAGCCCCACGGTCCCTGTGGCGGCCTCCACGTCCCAGGATGCTTCCGTCAATGAGGTGTGCACTCTTTCCTTTCTTGCCACGGTTCTCCTTTAAAGTAGCCTATCTGCCGGACTATATTCCGTGAGAAAATTTCGGCAGAAAATTTTATTTCCTTTGATAGACAGCACTCAAATCCTTGTATAATCAGCACCACAAATTTTTTAATTTTTTTTAAGCTTTGACAGGTGTGTTGATTATAGTCTGGAAAGTATGTTAAAGGGGCACTAAACAGGATTCTGCAATCGTCTCTTCTTGGTCATAACTAATTCTGCGGGCTCTAAGCATCCTAAAAATGAGTTACAATCGCACAATGCCGATTTCCTTATTTAAAATGTGATGAAAGGTCGGGACATACCCCTTCCTGAGCCGATTTTTCCGCTCTAAAAAGGCGGGGCATACCCCAGGTGGTATCAGTGCGGTGACGATGGGCGCTTGTTGACCAATCACCAGCCGCCACTCTCGGAAAGGCAGCTTGCGATTGGCCGACGAGTGCCCATTGTCACCGCACTGCCTCTGGGGCATGCCCCGCCTTTCCCCGAGTGGAAAAATCTTCTTTATGAAAAGGGTGTGTCCCGACCTTTCATCACAATTTTAAAAGGGAAGCGGCGTTGCACAATTGTAATTTTTGGATTTTTAGGGCATATAGGATCGGTTATGGCCAAGAGCAGATTACCACAAAATCCTCCTTAGGGCCCCTCTAACGCTGCCAAGATGTATGTGCTCGGTGCGATTTTTACTAAAACAGCCATCCAGAATGGAAAAAAAAATTAATTTTTGCAGCTCAGAGTTTGCATTTTTTTTTTTTTAGTGGATTTAATGTTTAGGTTTTCTTTTGCTCTTTTTCGTGATCGTGTGTGGTAGCTTCAAAAAAAAAAATAATAATATTTTTTAACTTGTCGGTTTTCTAGGTCTGATGTTTATCAGTAAAATAAATAAAATTCATGAAACCACTGAAACCCTGGAAAGGTGTTGATTTAAAGCAATATGGAGTGCTCAGTCGCGGAGGAAGATGTCTGTTCAGTCTTGCATCGGAGTGCTCTGCACTGTTCCTCTCTTTTTGGCTCGACTTGGTTGTAATTTTTTTAATTTTTTGCAGCAAATCAAATTAATTTTGGATAGTGCCTTTACACTGTCATACCGTTTTCTCGGTAGCACGGACTTCATAAAGATACTCTGCTAATATACAATATTTTTGGGGACGACCTGGGTACATATATGGAGCTCTGTGTCGCCATTATGATGGTGGGGCACAGTGGATAGGTTATCACCATGTGGAGCTGTTGAATAAATGAGTGCAACTAGTGCTGAAAACATTTGCAATTGCAAACTACAGGGTTTTGTATTGTACAGGCTGTGTGAGTTTAACTGTTGATTCAGATCTATGTTTGGTTAAGTACATATAAAAAGGATTGAAAATCTAGTACAAAATAACTGATTACTTGCACTTCGAGCAAAGTGCTGTAAGTAAATTGGGCGTAACATACTTTGAGCAAGGTGCAATAGATGCAGTGTACTTTCGGAGTAAAGCACATTTTTTGTTTCTGGAAAGCTTCTATTACATTTTTTTATTATTATTATTTTATTAAAACACTTGCTAAAATTGGTGTGCATGCTCAAAGATATCAATATGTACAGTTGAACCTCGGTTTAACGAAGTCACCGGGACTCAATAATTATTTCGTTAATCTCGGAACTTTGTAAAATCGAGGAAGGGAGACCTCGCCTCGCACATAGGCTGCGCGGAAAATCAGAGTTTGTTCGTTAAATCAGGAAATTCGTAAAATCTGGTTTCGTAAAATCGCGGTTCAACTGTAGTTGGGAATTTTTCTCTATCTCTAGCTGAAGGACAGATAAATTAGTCATTTGGACATTGAGATTTTATTCTGTCAATTGATCTTGCTGCGTGCATAAAAATATCCCAGTGGTATCAAATCACCAGCCAGGTTAGTGGCCGAGAAAATATGGCCCCACAATAGCGCTGTTTGGCAAGAACGTTTAGTCATCAAAATATGCTCGTAGTTGATTCCACAATGGCCTCATTGTCTGGGCTTGTGAATTTCGTTCAATCCTGAGAGCGTAAAACTGGTAATCTTGTCTTTCTGCATTGTCAGTTGCTGTTTTTTTTTTTTTTTTTTTTTGTGAATCGGTTGTCCGAGATGTCTTTCGTGTGCTTGTGTGAAGTGAACTTGTTGCTGCCTGTTGTGAGAGTAGCTGATACCTTGTCTTCGTGGGTCCTATAAGGCCTGTTGCCTATTGCAGAAGACAGAGCTGAACCTGGAAGCTTGTGGCACAACATCCAAATCTGCAGAGAGCATGACCTCCGAGACGGGCAGCCAGCAGGATGATCAGAAGGACCAGAAGAAGAAAAAGAACAGGTGTCGAATGTGTCGCAAGAAAGTGGGACTCACTGGTGAGTGGCCTTGCCCCGGCTGCGGCCCAGTCCTGGCTGGGGTCGGGGAGCACCCGGGTATTGTGGGAGCTTGGCATTTATCTCTTGGCTACCTATATTTGAATTGTTTTTTTTTTATTCTCGGTCGGTTCAATAAATAGGGGTCGACCTATTTTCTAGTGAATACGGTAGTTTACATGAAATTTGACCGCAATGCATGCCAGGACTTTGCAAGACGGCACAGAAGTTTAAAATCGTCCCGCGTCTTGTGTGGCTCCTTCACAGTCCGTGCGAGCTGTGTTCTGAACACGAGCACACTTCACCATTTGGTGGCGATGGGCTCTTGCTTCAGTAGTCCCTTTAGTGGTCATGCTGATAATGCGTTTCTTGTCACACCTATTGCCGAGCGTGACGAGTTCCTGAGACGGGAGGTTCTAAGCTCCTGTAGCACCTGCTCGAAGCCAGTGTGTCCTTTGTTGAATCACAAGGTTGCAATGGCAGTGGCCATCTCCACGACTGTGCGTGAGGCAAACCTCGTCTTGGGGCACAGCAGTTCATCCAGGGCCTGTGCTCTCTTGTGCTTGCACCAGGAAGATTCCCTGTCTGGACAGAGCTGGTGGCTGCTGGCAGGATCGGCCTAGCAGGAGTGAAAGTAAGATGCCCAGAAAGCACAATACATTCCCCGGACACTTCCTCTGCTACTGTTGATGGCGATATGAAAGTAGCTCTGCAGCTTCTGGATAATTCCATCCTTGAGCTTTTGTTCCTATGGTAGTGGTATCTTGAGCTTGAGGAGTCCAGTGCCCAATTGCTTTGCCACGTTGTTTGTGCAGTCTTTTTTCACATTGAGGGCAGTCCCACAGAGATTTGCCTTAGAAACAGCAGCATACCGTATTTACTCAATTGTAACGCAAGTTTTTTTCCAGATTATGGCTGCCTAAAGTCATCCCTATCATTACAATCGAATACCGAAATTAAAGTTATCTAAAAATTGCAACAATACGCCCAGACCTAATTGAAGGCGCCAGATTTGGGCGCCCCGCAATCTATGTTGGCAACATGTGCCTGCCAAAAGCCATTCGGATCCACTGCAAGCCAATAACTCTCTCTTCGTTTCCGCCTCTTTTTCTCTGATGGAGTGCACATTGCGTTCGTCGTGTGTGGTGGCATCGGCGACTTTGGCTGCCTTGCGTTTCATCTCCCTTCGGCTGCCCTTACAATGGCTGCGTGTCGGGCACAGTACGACGCCCGCTTCAAGAGGCGTGCCATTTTATTGGCCGAAGACATCGGCAATTCAGCCGCTGCCCGAAACCTCGACGTAAACAAGTCGACCATTCGCGGATGGCGGCTCCAGCGGGAGCGCATTTTCATGTGCGCTCCGGGCCGAAAAGGTTTCCGTGGGCCTCGCCACGGCCGTTTCTTGGAATTGGAGCAGCGTGTTGCTGATTACGTCGTAGAACAGCGCAACCGCCTCATGGCCGTCAGCGTTGAACTGATACAGTTCAAAGCGAGTGATGTTGCTAGGCAGATGGGCATCCCGCGAACGGAGTTCAAAGCGTCACGTGGATGGGCGCAGAGGTTTATGCGGAGGAACGGGTTTTCCCTCCGCCGGACCACCTCCATTTGGCAAAAGTTGCCGCATGACTTTGAAGGAAAACTACTGGAATTTCAGCGCTTTGTGATGAATTTGCGCCGTTCTTCAAACATGCCATTGGGGCATATTGGCAACGCAGATCAGACTCCTGTGTATCTTGATATGCCTGTGTCAAGAACTGTGAACAGCGTTGGTGCCCCAGAAGTACGCATTAGGACAACTGGGAATGAAAAGAACAGAACAATAGTAATGCTGGCATGCTTGGCAGATGGGCGCGAGCTGCCCCCTTACATTATTTTTCGCCGGAAGACTATTGCAAAGGAAACGTTCCCTAGGAACGTCATTGTGCGTTTCCAGGAGAAGGGATGGATGGAAGGTTCCTTAGTTCTTGACTGGATTAACACAGTGTGGCGCCGGCGACCAGGTGCTCTTCTACACCAGTCTTCAATCCTCGTGCTGGATTCGTTCTGCGGACACCTCACCTCCGAGGTCAAGAAGAAGTTGGCAGAGACTGAAACACACCTTGCTGTCATTCCCGGCGGAATGACCTCGATTCTGCAACCGCTCGATGTGTGCCTAAGCAAACTGTTTGAGGACAGAATCCGCAAGCTGTACAACGATTGGACCCGGGAAGAATCAAACTGCCAAGCGCTTCGGTCATTGCCGAGTGGGTGTCTGCCGCTTGGTACGACCTCCCACACAGCATGGTTGTTCATACCTTCAAAAAGTGTTCGCTTTCAAATGCCCTCAATGGCACGGAATACGACATTCTCTGGGAGGATGAGAGTGCAAAGGAGGACTCGGATTCAAAGAGCTCGTCCGACGACGACTAGCAAGGACACGTCTTGAGGCAGGTGATTGCTTCTGGCCAACATTTGAAAAATAAATGCAATTTTTCATGCATGTGCCTGTGCCACGCTACTTCAATAATTTTTTTTTTTTTTTTTTTTTTGCTGGATGCATTACAAGTTGCCTTTCGCGTTACGTTCGCAATTTATTTTTCTTGCTAGAAGCAGTGAAAAGTCACCCCTCGCGTTACAATCGAGTAAATACTGTCTCCATCGCTGAGGAATGTTGTGAATTCCCTTTTGGCGACTTCCTTTGAACTTGTGTGTTGTCAGAAACTTCCGAGCTCGAAAGTCGCGTGTTTGGTCGACGTCCATCGCGAAGAAAGCAGAATGATTGAGCAAGTCGTTGGTTCTAGTTTCAGTAGAAGTGCGACGCTAACACAGCAAATTGTTATTTTTTTACTTGCATCTTTCCTTAAAGTTTTAACATATAGGTATTGAAGTGACTGGTTGTAGTAATGATTTTAGAGTTAAGGAACAGCACTTTAGAATATGTCCCTGTAGTGAGAGTTCTCGTTTTGCCCGGCACCGTAGTGCCGAGAAATAATTATTTTTGCAAGTTTTTTGTCTCCCCCCAAAAAATTGCCGACTTTCTTTTTTGACTTTCCATCTCCTCAATCGAACTGAGCCTCGTCGATACATTTTTGGTTGATGTGCTTCCCGGCTGTTGTGTCCAAGAAAGAATGCCGATCCCATTGTACTCCCGTCTGGATCAACGTTTCCGTTTACCGTGTTTGCTTTCCGGCTCTTGCGTCCAAAAGCTTCCACTCAAGGCGACAGAATGGGCAGCCTGGCTGCGGCGACCCTCTGCCTTTTGCACCTGTCCCCCTCCTTTTAACGTCTGTTTCTCCACGCTGTGCTTCTTGCCCCATGGGGCATAAACTTCGGCTAGGCTTGAAGCAGACTCGAGCTCTCACAATTGCCCATTATTTTTTTCCATTTCTTTCTCTTGCTCATGGGCTTCCTTTATGCCCAGTTTCTCTTATTCTGGTAGTGTGGTTTTGCAGTGAACAGTTCCCAAATCGTGATCGTGCGCAATAAAGTTCATTTTTTCATCGCAACACAATGTTTTGCCTATGGTATCTTTGGATCTAGAACTTGGACTAGAATACTTTTACAGCGAAACTGTTATGCCCTAGGATCTTGGGAAAAAATGCGTCCGCGGATGTTGACAGAAAACTTCCCATTGGCCGGGGCAAGTATGAATAAATAAAAATAGAGAGGGGGCAATCCGTGTGAGTCGGCTTTCCTTGGCATTATTAGATAGTGAGGTCCTGATCCCTTGTTATCATTTCTAGGCATCGTTCTAGAGGTCATCCTAGAATTCGTCCTCTTGGCGTCGTCCTCGAAATCATCCTAAAAGTCTCCCATGAAAACGTCCTAGAAGTTGTCCTTGAGGTTCTAGAAGTTGTCCTTGAGGTTCTCCTAGAAGTTGTCCTTGAGGTTCTCCTAGAAGTTGTCCTTGAGGTTCTCCTAGAAGTTGTCCTTGAGGTTCTCCTAGAAGTTGTCCTTGAGGTTCTCCTAGGAGTTGTCCTTGAGGTTCTCCTAGAAGTTGTCCTTGAGGTTCTCCTAGAAGTTGTCCTTGAGGTTCTCCTAGAAGTTGTCCTTGAGGTTCTCCTAGAAGTTGTCCTTGAGGTTCTCCTAGGAGTTGTCCTTGAGGTTCTCCTAGGAGTTGTCCTTGAGGTTCTCCTAGAAGTTGTCCTTGAGGTTCTCCTAGAAGTTGTCCTTGAGGTTCTGCTAGAAGTTGTCCTTGAGGTTCTGCTAGAAGTTGTCCTTGAGGTTCTGCTAGAAGTTGTCCTTGAGGTTCTGCTAGAAGTTGTCCTTGAGGTTCTCCTAGGAGTTGTCCTTGAGGTTCTCCTAGGAGTTGTCCTTGAGGTTCTCCTAGAAGTTGTCCTTGAGGTTCTCCTAGAAGTTGTCCTTGAGGTTCTTCTAGAAGTTGTCCTTGAGGTTCTGCTAGAAGTTGTCCTTGAGGTTCTCCTAGAAGTTGTCCTTGAGGTTCTCCTAGAAGTTGTCCTTGAGGTTCTCCTAGAAGTTGTCCTTGAGGTTCTCCTAGGAGTTGTCCTTGAGGTTCTCCTAGGAGTTGTCCTTGAGGTTCTCCTAGAAGTTGTCCTTGAGGTTCTCCTAGAAGTTGTCCTTGAGGTTCTCCTAGGAGTTGTCCTTGAGGTTCTCCTAGAAGTTGTCCTTGAGGTTCTCCTAGAAGTTGTCCTTGAGGTTCTCCTAGAAGTTGTCCTTGAGGTTCTTCTAGAGGTTGTCCTTGAGGTTCTCCTAGAGGTTGTCCTTGAGGTTCTCCTAGGAGTTGTCCTTGAGGTTCTCCTAGAAGTTGTCCTTGAGGTTCTCCTAGGAGTTGTCCTTGAGGTTCTCCTAGAAGTTGTCCTTGAGGTTCTCCTAGAAGTTGTCCTTGAGGTTCTCCTAGAAGTTGTCCTTGAGGTTCTCCTAGAAGTTGTCCTTGAGGTTCTCCTAGGAGTTGTCCTTGAGGTTCTCCTAGAAGTTGTCCTTGAGGTTCTCCTAGGAGTTGTCCTTGAGGTTCTCCTAGAAGTTGTCCTTGAGGTTCTCCTAGAAGTTGTCCTTGAGGTTCTCCT